TGGAAGCCGGTTGAAGCTAAATCCTTCGAAGACAGAGGTCCTGTGGCTGGGACGGGACGATATGGGATTGGGGGGGCAACTCCCATCTCTTGCGGGGCCGCAATTAGTGCCAGCACCGTCCGTTAAGAGTTTGGGTGTAATCTTCGACACCTCCCTCTCTATGGAGGCGCAGATTGCAGCTACAACAAAGGCAGCATTTTTCCATCTCCGCCAAGCTAAGCAGTTGGCTCCTTACCTCTCTCACCCTGACCTAGCCACTGTGATCCATGCAACGGTCACCTCCAGACTGGATTATTGTAACTCGCTCTACGTGGGGCTGCCCTTGAGACTGACCCAGAAACTCCAGCGGGTGCAGAATGCTGCAGCGAGACTCCTTACGGGGTCTTCGCTGCAAGATCACATTCACCCGGTGCTATACCAGCTGCACTGGCTCCCGGTGGAGTACAGGATCAGGTTTAAGGTGCTGGTTTTAACCTTTAAAGCCCTATACGGCCTAGGACCCTCGTACCTACGGGACCGCCTTTCCTGGTATGTCCCACAGAGGAACCTACGGTCTGCAAATAAAAACGTCTTGAAGGTCCCAGGCCACAGAGAGGTTAGGCTGGCCTCAACTAGAGCCAAGGCTTTTTCGGCTGTGGCCCCGATCTGGTGGAACGCTCTGTCACAAGAGACCAGGGCCCTGCGGGACTTGACATCTTTCCGCAGGGCCTGCAAGACAGAGCTGTTCCACCAGGCCTTTGGCCAGGGCACAGCCTGACTCCCTCCCTCGGCAATCTTCGCGGAGCTCTGGCCCAATGGTTGCCAGTGGCTTGAATTAATGAATTTTATAATGAATGACTTTAGAGTGTTGTTTGTGCTGTACTTTTGTACTGTTTTATTGTTGTTAGCCGCCCTGAGCCCGGCTTCGGCTGGGGAGGGCGGGATATAAATAAAATCTATTATTATTATTATTATTATTATTATTATTATTACTTTGTGAATCCTGTAATATGACTTTTGTTGCAATTGAGCCATTTAGCTTATTTTTTTCAGTTGTTTTTCTAATAGTTTTATAAATTGTAATTGTCTAACTAATGATTCGTAATTGCTTAACCAATTATTTGTTAATTTTTCTATATAATTTCTGTTGTATTTATGATGTTCTATTATGTTATTCTTATTTGCTGTTTGTAAGTTGCTTGGCCATTCCGTTGAATGAAAAGCAGCATAGAAATATAATAAATCAAACAAATCCAATCTGTCGTTTGTATAACTGCTCTAAAAGGCCAAAATGTTGAGCTGCTAAATAATGTACACCCCTTTCTTTCTGTGTTGTTACCGTACTGAAGGTAGCAGGAGCAAAAACAGTTGAGTATTTTTGTCTTGACATAAAACCACTGAAAGTGGCAAAATGAAATTGAACTGAAACTTATAACCTGACCTGATTCCTGTCAAATTTGGATGTTCAGTCTTTCCCCTTTTGCATATCAAAATGTTTCAGACTGGAGACTTGATAGAAATAGCATTGATCAACATGTGTGCAGATTTCAAGGCCTACTGTGAGATCTGGCTGCCACCAATGTCTGTGATGATGATATAATTTTATTATTTGTACCCCACCCATCTGACTGGGGTGCCAGTAAGCACATTCTGTGGGGAGGAGGCAAGGTTCTTTGCCTTCTAAAGCAGCAACAGCTCCTGACTTTGCATGTTTCCTAGAGCCGCTGTGGTGTAGTGGTTAGCATGACAACCATATGTCAGGAGTGCCCTGATGGTGTTTCCTGCTTGGCAGGGGGTTGGACTCAATGGCCCTTGTGGTCTCTTCCAACTCTATGATTCTATGATTCTATGCCAGGCTAGCACCTGGGAGACCAGAGTTCAAATCCCTACCTGACCATGAAGCTCACCTTGGACCTCTCAGCCTAACCTACCTCACAGGGTTGTTGTGGGGGTTAAATGAGGGAAAGAAGCTTGAGTTCCCTGGAGAAAAGGGTGAGCTGTAAATGCAACAAATAAATAAATAATAGACAAAGCCCTTGCATTTATTAAGTAATTAAGGCTATATCCCATCATCTCACATGGTGCTCCCATGGAAACCGGCTTGTGGCTAATAGGCATTCTGAATCAGCGGATGTAATCATATGTGCTGAGATGGACGATCCTCTCCCCAATCTATTTTTATTGTTGCCAAAACAGCAACCAAAGCTCATAGCTAATGTGCCAGGAAGTACAACACGGAGGACCCACCCGGCTCAATTTCCCGCTTGCTTGCCCGCTGCTGCCACTGCTGACTGGAGTGACGTGTGGAGCTCCTGTCCTCTGTTCTGGTAAGTGACTGCCAAAGAGATGACTGCTAATCAGCTCGCTGGGGAGACTGGGATTGCTTTTGCTTTTTACTATTATGTTATGTGTCTTGTGTTTTTATGTTCTAAACAGCCATGAGATCTTTGGAAGCAGGGCGGGTGTGGGTGTGTGTGTGTGTGTGTGTGTGTGTGTGTGTGTGTATGAGGGAGACGGGAATGTGCTCTCCAGCATTTCAGCATGGACCTTTTCCCTGTCCCATCAGGAGATGCTAGTGACTGACCTTATGCATACAAGGCAGATGATCTACTTCTTAGCTATGTATGGCCTTAATCCTAAATTAGCTCTAATCATGACCATATATTTTCAAGTCATAATAGCCTTTTTAAGAAAAAGAGGAGGAAAATGTCTTTTATGTACATCTTGCATTGCTGTCAAAGAATCCCTGCTATGAGATTTTCATTAGAAGCAGGAACAGCAGCAAATAATAATATTTTATTGGTTTTGGCATTCTTCTGCATGGCCCAGTGAGTTTTATGGGAGGTAGGAGCTGAAGTTGGTCCATCTGGATTGTTTTGTTAGTGCATTTTGTAGCATTAAAACAAGGGATATTAAATCTAGAAATATGGAATGAAAGTTTTTGTAAAGGAGAAAACATTGGTTGAAACTGCAAGAAAAAAAAAGCACAACCCACCCATAGTTAACTTCGAATGCCACTGACTGCATCAGCACAGTGTAGTGGTTAAGAGCAGAGAACGTAATCTGGGGAACCGGGTTCGCGTCTCCGCTCCTCCACCTGCAGCTGCTGGGTGACCTTGGGCCAGTCACACTTCTCTGAAGTCTCTCAGCCCCACTCACCTCACAGAGTGCTTGTTGTGGGGGAGGAAGGGAAAGGAGGTTGTGAGCCACTTTGAGACTCCTTCGGGGAGTGATAAAGCGGGATATCAAATCCAAACTCTCTCTCTCTTAAAATCAGTGGGATTTTAAAGTGCTGAACTTTGGCTGAATCATCCACAAAGCAATTATGAAGAGGCCATGAAATTAGTTGCTTTCCTCCATGTTATCTCATCCTAATGAAATTCAGTATTATGCGTACCCCCCAAAATAAATTTGAGATTCCAGTTACAAATTATAGCATGCCTCTTTATGATTTTTTCATATGTCATGTATTTCATGAGGCAGCTTTCCTGGGTTTTATTTTTCCTGTAGCTTTACACTCCTCCTTCAAGAATTAAAGGCTAATGTCATGTATCATTAAAAGGTTTGCACATATGTGCAGCTGTATTCAGAGAAGTTCTCTAGGGACTCATGAATCATACTGCATCACAAACATTTTAGCTTTCCAGTAATTGTTGGCATAGTTGCCAGGGACAAGAACACATCAGCAATTATATTCAAACCCTATTTGACTTTTCCAGTTTTATTTGTGGAAGAAAACAACTTCTTGTGAAAGAGGCATATAGGTAAAATTGAACAGGTGTGAAGTAACCTGAGTTTATTTCTGGACTGTTGGAGGCGGCATTACCTAATTAAAATATCCCATCCAATGTAGTCAGTACATTAAAATGATATACTGCATGGGAAATTGCAATAACTGGTTTAAGGACCGTTGCATTGTGATCTTATATGTGTTTACTTAAGTGCAAGGGTCATTGGAACTTTGCAAAGTGCAAGTGAGATCACTGGAACTTTGCAAAGGATTGCCGACTTAGCCTTAATCCGTTTAAAAGAGAGATGGGGAGCCTGTGCCCAGATGCTGCTAGACTGCAACTCCCATCATTGGCAACTGACCACACTGGTTGGAGCTGATGGAATCTGGAGTCCAACATCATCTGCAGGACCAGACTCTTCATGCCTGGAGGGTTCTCTAAATGAGGGGAAGTAGTTGTGTTTATCATTGTGCATATATAAAATTTGCTTTATCACAGTTACCAGATTAATTCAATGAGGTACTGAAGTGTAAAATACTAAAAAGAGGTGCCAGATGTCACATGATTCAGATACTCACAGTAGCCTATAGACTTAATGCTATGTCAAAAAAGAGAACTTTGTGAAGTAGGCACGCATCAAACCCTGAGTTAGAGTCTGCAGATTGCAACATTTAAAATATATCAAGAATTGGTATTTTGTTTGGTTTGAATTTTCATAAACCACTTTTCAATTAAATAAAATAAAAAAATAAAATTACAGTAAAGATAAAACAACTTAAACCAATGTACTTAAAACGGTTCTTCCCTGAAAGAAATGTTACCATCAGTATCTCCATGCCAACCCAGTGATTTCATTATTTCAGTTTTACACATGGGAAAGTGAGATAGTGATTATCCTGTGAATCCATGACCTAGCATGGATTTGAGCCTTAGTCCATGTACAACCGTCTGCCCAATGGTTCTGTATCCATTGTACTGATGCTGAGCAATTGCATCTCTCTAGACAAAGAGGGATCTATTCATAATCAGCAATACCAAATATCCCAAGTAAGGGATGAAGTCTTTGCATTTAAGGCAGCAATTGCCCTAGGAGCAAGCCCCACTTTATCGGTGCTACTTCTGCCTAGGACTGTGATTCAAGTCATTTTACACTGAAAAGTATCACCGATAGTAATAAAACATTGGATTTGAAATGGTTGCACAATCCCTTTACCAACAATATTTGGCTCGCATGGATGTGTCACATGAGACAATTCCTGTTTTTGTAAGTCAGAAAAATAAGAATCTGCCATGACATCCTGAACAGAGAGGATGATAGATAATGCTTTTCCTGTGAGCAGCGTCAAGCCTTTATATTCATTCCCTGAAAGCTTAGATTGTTTGCTCATTTGTTGACTGTCCATATAGACAGAAAACTGCAGTTATTGTGTGAGAGAAAAGGATTTCTAGTTCTTCGCAGATCATTAAGTGTTTTGGATACTCCTAACCAGGTAAGTGTAAAAAGTATTTTATTCTGCAATGTTATTTTGAAAGTTATAATTAAGTACTCAGATATTCTGCTATGTGCAGGATTGTGACAACTGAAAGCTCAAGTGAGCTGCACTTTACTTTTCAATAAATATTTGTGTCTCAGGATCTCTAATTCTCGCTTATGTTTTATTTTTGTTGCATTCTGTTTCCAATTTTGCCCATATTTGTCATGGTTACTGAACCTTACTATGTTTTCAGTGAAACAAACAGTGCTGTTTAAGGATATATGCATCCTCTCACAGGAAGTTAACTGACTGCAGAATCCAGATTTCCATTGACCCAATAGCTACTAGTTGTCAATAATTAGAAAGAGAAATTACACCTTTTTGTTTAACAGTTTCCATTGAATTGATGCTGCAAACCTGTGCTCGGTTGCCTGGTAAAGGGACCCCTGGCCAACTCTGGGGTTGCGGCGCTCATCTTGCTTTATTGGCCGAGGGAGCTGGCGTACAGTTTCCGGGTCATGTGGCCAGCATGACTAAACCGCTTCTGGCAAAACCAGAGCACCGCACGGAAACGCCGTTTACATTCCCGCCGGAGCGGCACCTATTTATCTACTTGCACTTTGACGTGCTTTCGAACTGCTAGGTTGGCAGGAGCAGGGACTGAGCAACGGGAACTCACCCCGTCGCGGGGATTCGAAGCACCGACCTTCTGATCAGCAAGCCCTAGGCTCTGTGGTTTAACCCCCAGTGCCGCCCGCGTCCCTTTTACCAGTTGCCTGGCAGTAACTTTTAAATGGGTTTACTTCTGAATACACACGATTCCACTGAAAACGTGTAAACATATTACCATATTTTTCGCCCTATAGGACGCACTTTGCCCCTCCAAAAATGAAGGGGAAATGTGTGTGCGTCCTATGGGGCGAATGCAGGCTTTCGCTGAAGCCTGGAGAGCGAGAGGGGTCGGTGCGCACCCACCCCTCTCACTCTCCAGGCTTCGCGCAGATCTCTGTAAGCCATGGGAGCCCACGCCGGGCTCCCGCGGCTTGCGGAGAGTTGCCTGCATGCTGAAGCAAATATGAGCTCAGCACGCCCAGATTTCACGCAGCTCTCCGCAAGGCGCCTGGGGGGGAAATAATTCCCCCCCAAAAAAACTAGGTGCGCCTTATGGGACGGTGAGTCCTATAGGGCAAAAAATACGGTAAACAATAGCTGTTCTCCAACTTTGTAGTGAAGCTCTTTTTAAAATAGCATTTAATCCACTACATTATAATTGTGGTGCAATTACTGTAACGTCTTATGTTCTAATTTTCAGAAAGAACTCTACTTTTTTGTTTTTCTTGGATCCAGAAGATAATTTTCTGACATGGCATCAGTTCAAACTGTAAATACCAATTGCATACAAAATGGCATTTTGCCATAAGGTCACATAACCTTCAGGAAGAAAAAGTTGAATTCCATGCTGCTTATTTAAGCAGAATGCATATCTGTGCAAATCCTTCTTTATTTGCTTTGGATAAATAAATAGTATGTAGTGAATACTTTGATAATGACACAGCAGCAGAAAAATGTCAAACAAATATACATGGAAATAGAAGAAAACAGAAACAGGGACTGCTTCTCAGATGGTAATCCCAACACCTGCTTTTCTGGGCACCTGGGCAGTTTTAACTTCTACCTTGTCAGCCACAGAGCTGTACAAGCTGCCATGTGAAAACAATGAAACAATGATTTGCTTTTACTGGGGTGGGTGTTTTAGGAAAACTTGCACACAATGATCCTGTTCTCTACTTTATCCATACTGAGCAAGATAGAACTGACCCAAAGTGTGGCCCTGAAATAGCACAGTATGGCAGTGTCCACTGGGGTAATGCTACTCTTGCACCAGCAGCAAGGTGCCTTGGCCAGTGGTGAAAGAGGGGGAAATTAGTGCTGAGGCGAAGGAGGCGTTTTTCACGAGGAATCCCTTGCTTGGCTGGGTGCCTATGGAGTCGCTCTGCTGAGCGGGATGTTTGGCTTCTAGCCTGATGTCTTCCCTGCACCTTTTTTGGAACCCCAAGTCATCCTTGCCGGCAGAACACCCAAAAGGCAAGCGTTGCAGCGTGGCGGGACTCAGCCCCACATCTGGCTTTCAGGCTTCACTTAGGCGTCTGGCTGGTCCCTGTGGAAAAAGGGGGCTGGGCCAGAGGGCCCTTTTCCCAACCGACCAAGCAGGGCTGGTCCTGTTTTCCCATTGCAATGCACTTCCTTAGGGTTACCAGGCTGCTGCTGCTGCAGCTGATCACTGTGACCTTTCTCTTGCGGTTTCTGCTCTTGTGGTTGTAGCCTTTTCCCGAGCAAAAAGTTTGTTATGTCACTAACACAAGTCCTTGTATGTGTGGAGACACTGTTCTGAAGGGTGTTCGGGGCAGGGCCAAATCCCCAGGGAAGTCCTGCACGGCGCGCAGTACAGAAATCCGGGCAGCCGCCGCCGGGAACTTGGTCGGGAGCGCCAGGCCCTCGGGGCCGAAGGAGCAGCTCTGCCCCGGTCCGGCCGGCCGGGCTCCGAAAAGGGGCCGCGGGAGGGAAGCGCTCCTTCTGCTTTGGCGCTGCTGCCCGGCGAGCTTGCGCTCTTGCCCCTTCTGGGCCGCGCAGGGATCCTCGAAGGCAGCGGCGCCGCCGCCTTTCCCCTTCGGGCTCCGCGCAGAAAGGCGAGGCGCCGTCTCGGGGGAAGCGGCTCTTCGCCCGGGCGCCTCTCTCCGCGCCGGGCCGGGCCAGGAGGCTCCTCCCGGAGGCGGGGCTGGTGGGCGCGGCGGGGCGGAGCGGGGCGGAGCGGGCCGGGGCGGCGAGGCGGCGGCGGCGGCGGGTGCGGCGGGGAGCCGGCGGCGCCGCTGCGTGAGGAGGGAGCGCGCCATGCCTCAGCCCCCGCCGCCCTGAGCGCGCCTCCTTCGCCGCCTCTTCCCCGCCTGCGCTCGAGGCCCCGGTGAGTGCCGCCCCCCCCCGGCTCCAGGCCCCCTTCCCGCCCGGCCTTCTGGTTCTCCGCCCCCGCCGGCCTCTTGCGCCCCTCGCCGGCCCCGGCCTCCCCGCTCGGCGGCAGCGCGCGAGACTCCTCCCTCTGCTCTGCTGCTGCTTTCCGCCTTTTCTCTCGCTCGGAACTCCTTCAGTCGGGCGAGAGCCGGGCATTCATCTTCTGGGAATGCATATGGGAAGGAGGAGGGAAGGCAAAGGGGGACTCAGAGCGGCCTGGTTCGGTAACGTCTTGGGCGCCTCCAGAGGACCTGCGGAAGGAGCATAGTCTTCCTGGAGCTTAGAGGGTGTGAGCCATTTGGTGAGCATTTGATTCCTGTGCAGAGGGGTTAGATGACATCGCACCCCACACTTTTCTGTCATCTGCCTCATCACTTTCCTTATTGCTAACAAAAAGAGTGGAATTGGATTATTGAGCAACGCGTCCTAATCAACTGTAATGGCACAGCATGACTTTTAACGAGCTTGAATCCCATCTGAAAGTACAGGCAATGATCATTTTCTGTGTGTTTAAAGCACTTGCGACCATGCGCATGCACAGCGCCACAAACCCAGAAGTGGCAGGAAAAGGGGGCAGGGCACGCTAATGTGCATTTATTTTTATACATGCTCTGCCATCATGCACAATGACCCAGAATGCAACCCCCCTCCTGCAAATTCCCTGTATCAGCAGTTCCCACATTCCTCAGCAGTTTCTCATCTCAAACAGCAGGGACACCCTAACCCTAACCCTCCCCCCCCCCCAAAAAAATCTTCCACACTTCACTCTGAATCTGAATCTGATCTGCTCTCTTGGGGGAGGGACTGTAGAAGTTTGGTAGTAGAGCATATGTGTTGTATGTAAAAGATCCAAGGTTTAATGCCTGTACGAATCACTGGTCTGATATCTGCTGCCAGTTAGTGCAGAAAATATTGGGCCAGTTAGACTTTCTGTCCATATCTGTACAAGATGGGTTCCTAGGTTCCTGACCTTTCCCAGCCCTCTTGGCACTGCAAGAAGCAAGCAATTTACAAGTTGCCTTGTTAACCTGAGAGGGAAGGAACCTGGCATCCTATACTATGTTGCTGTTAAGCCCATAGGAAGTTGACTTGCACTGAGTGGGAAGGGGCAGCTAGTCCAGCTCCCTACAGTGCAGGAATCACAGCTAAATGGATCAGCCTAATTCAGTATTGTCTTCTCTGACTGGCAGCAACTATCCATGGTTTCCCAGCCTTTCCCCAGAGATGCTGGAGTTTGAATCTGGGATCTGCTGCTGCTCAGCTACAGTTCTTCCTTTGTTGGAAGTGGTGATGCAGAAACAAAAACCAGTCACTACAGTAAGGAAGAGACTTCTCCCATCTCTCCAGTTATCCTACCTATGCACACTCCTACTTTTGCTTGAGACTTGGCAGTCAAACTGAAAACTCCCTCCAAAGGTGAGAGCTGGATGGAATAAGCCAGCAGTCACTTACACTTGAACGCAAGTGTGCAAGGATTCTTGGCTTCTCATACATATATGAAAATTCTTGCATGTTTGGCAGTGTCCCTATTTATGGCCATTGCTTGCTGCTCAATTCATGAATTGTCTGAGATGCTGCCAGAAGTACTGATTTTGTTGCTGGAGCCCATTCTTCACCCCACGTTCTCTGGTACCCCCAGATAAAAGTAACTTGCTTGCACTTAATCTGCATTCCCTTCATCAGATGTAAGTTACTAGCTTTCATCTTGTTTTGATCATACTGTTTGATCAAGTATGAAGAATTACATTGTCAGCAAGTATGTTGATGATGTCCTCTTCTGCTAACAGTACAGAATAAAACTTATTTGGAGTTGTATGGTTCATGTTATTTGAGCCACATCGCATGCATTTAGACTTTCATGAAGCCATATGAAAGCATGCAATGCAAAAGGCATTTCCTATCATCTTGTAGATAACCTTTATGGTGTGTGCCAGTCGGGGCAGTGGATATCTCTGATATCTCTAAACGTAGTGCTTTTTCTCAGGAAAAAGTAAAAGATGAATGCCAGGTAACCTATGCAACCACTTATAGGCAAAGTATGTGCAAGTGCACATAACGGTTTGGCTAGTTTGGTTAGCAGTCATAGACCACATGAAATTTAATATTTTAATGAAGTTCATGCTATGCAGCAGTTGCTGATGTAGTGGAACCTCACGTTGAAACTACACTGTAGGTATGATAAAACTGCTTCTTTACTGTGCCATTTGTTCTGGTGTAGTTGTGTCCAGAGTTGTGTACATGCTAGTAAATCTAGAAAGTACAACTTGGCATCTAACAGACCTCATATGAAATGGTTTGGACACTTGTTAAATTTATTGGTCTCCATTAGCTCTCAATGTGAATAATCGTGGCAGGGCTGAAATAGATTGTTGTTTCTAGGGATGGGTGGACCACAGCAAGCTTTCCTCCTGTATAGCTTTTTCAAAACAATACAGAAGAGCTACAACTTGGCCTCATTCACAACCATGGCTAAGTAGGAATTAACCAGTGTGCTGGTGCACAGTTAGAAAATCTTGGCCACTTCCCTCCTCCCCTGCTCCCAGTAGTGCAGCCGAAGGAGGGAGGAGAGGAGCAGCCATGAAGATCTAACTGCACCAGCACACTGGTTAATTCCTACTTAGCCATGGTTTGGTTTGGTTTGGCTTAGCATTGCATGCAAGCCATTTCAAGGTTTAAAATAATGTTTTTCTTAATACTGAAGTTGTGTCCAGTGGTACATCAAATAACCCATCAAATGTGCCATGGACCTTGTAGTATGAGATTCCTTGTTTTGAAAAGAACTTGATATGGAAAATCAAAATATTCCATTAGGTTGCATCTTTGTTCCCATAGAGTAGCATCACTCCCCCAACTCTCTCTCTCCCTCTTGATGCTACCCTAACATCCCCCCCCCCCCCCCGCTTCTCCATCTCTGATGTTCTTTGTTACAAGTGAAATGTCATTTATTTATCTGGGGTATTTTAAGTCTGCCATTCATCCAAAGGTCCCAGGAAAGAATTAAAAATATCACAATTAATATTAAAGATTTAAACAAAACAACAGTATACAGTGGTGCCTCGCAAGACGAAATTAATTCGTTCCGCGAGTTTTTTCGTCTAGCGAATTTTTTGTCTTGCGAAGCATGAAATCCCATAGGAATGCATTGAAGTCCAAACAAAGCCAAATTTGGTACAACAAGAGTTTATTAAGTGCTCTTTAAAGTCACACATACTGTAAAGAGCATTTCAAAAATTGAAGGAACAATAAATTCAAAAATTGAAGGAACAATAAAAATCATACAAATTCAGAAAAAAACCACACAAGCTTCCAGATTCTTGCAAACCCCTCCTCAACTGTTCCCCCAGCCACCCACCACACAGAAATTCAAATCCAGAATTTTTTTTAAAAAACAGCAGAGTGGCCCAATGGTCACAGAAAATAAAAAAATTCAGAAAAAAACACACAAGCTTCCAGATTCTTGCAAACCCCTCCCCAACACCAAGTCCTTGAATTCCAAACACCCCAACCCAAAATCCAAAACCCCCAAAAAAGTTTTAAAAGTTTAAAAGAAGTTTTGGAAAAGCTTCAAAAATCACCAAAGTCTTCAAAAACCTCAAAAAAGGCTACCACACCGCGTTCTATGAGTTGCTCCTCGAAGTCAAGTCGCAACTGTATTAACGGTGTTAAGAAAAAGGAAACAAACTTGCAAGAAGTTTTCGCTTTTCGTCTTGCAAAGCAAGCCCATAGGGATATTCGTCTTGCGAAGCAGGTCAAAAAACAGAAAACCCTTTCGTCTAGCGAGTTTTCCGTCTTGCGAGGCATTCGTCTTGCGGGGCACCACTGTAATAGCAGAAGGAAAATATTGCCATGTACTTATTCCCTCCCCGCCCCCCACCGGCTGCGAAAGGATGGGGAAATGAGACTAACTGTACCACTTTGAATGAAAAATGTTTTTTTTAAAAACCTACTCTCTTAATTGAGGTTAATGTTAATTGGCAGGAAACTATATCCTGTTGGCTCCCAGTCTCTGGAATGCCCTTCTCTATATGTCTAGTTCATGTTGTTTTTGAGTGTTTGGTGCCAGCTTAAAAAAATATTATTTGCCCAGGCCTCTTAATTTCTTGCTACTGTTTTCTTGCTACTGATTCGTATGTTTACGGCATTACTTTCTTTCTTTTTTTAATTGTGGTTTTTATATTCTAAAGTCTCATTGGAAGTTGTTTTGAGGTGACAAGGATGTGGTAACTTCTTGGCCAGAAATGAATCAGCTGTCAAAGCAACTGCACAAGGACACTGAGCTCTGTGCCTGGCTGCTGACTTAGAACTTATACTGGTATATAAATATCACAGTGTATTGATTGACATGAAAATGCAATTGTAAGTACAGCTAGATGGCAGATAGATAAAGACATCTATTCTAAAAACCCAACCGTATGCACCTCTGTTTACTCCCAGGTAAATGTAGGATTGCAGCCAAGTAGTCTGTTCCCCAGCCCTATTTTAGGGTACTTAAAATAGGGTACTTTATCTGCAGTGATACAAATGTCACATACTGTACTTAAGGAGTGCAGGTGTCTGTACTTTGCTTCCCCTTGGGGAGTGGGTAACTTAAAGGCCAACGAAGGTGCTTGGCAGAAAAAGTCTATAGCAATGGCCTTTAATTTCTGAGGGCCTTCATTTCATGCTGACCTGCACCAGAGGACCACTTAAAACAAAATCACAGAGCAAATCTATGCATGAGCTCAGAAGGTGGTAGACTCTTCTTCATTGGAGAGCAAAGGCTGGATGGCCATCTTTCAGGGATGCTTTAGTTGTGATTCCTGCATTACAGAGGCTTGGACTAGATGATAATGATAATAATAATAATAATTATAATTATAATTATAATTATAATTAATAATTAATAATTAATAATAATTTTATTTATACCCCGCCTTCCCCAGCCAAGACCGGGCTCAGGACGGCTAACAACCAATAATAAAAACAAGTTGATTAAAATAAAATTTAAAAGATTAAGACACAACATTAAAACATTAGGATGCAGCCTCTTCACAGGAGGAGAAAGGAAAAAGAAAGAGGGGGAAGGAATCAAACTGATTCTAAGCCAAAGGCCAGATGGAACAACTCTGTCTTACAGGCCCTGCAGAAAGAAATCAGATCCCGCAGGGCCCTGGTCTCATGAGACAGAGTGTTCCACCAGGCAGGAGCCAGTGTTGAGAAGGCCCTGGCTCTGATTGAGGCTAATCTAACTTCCTTAGGGCCCGGGTGTTGCTATATATGGACCTTAAGGTCCTCCGTGGGGCATACCGGGAGAGGCGGTCCCGTAGGTACGAGGGTCCTAGGCCGTGAAGGGCTTTAAAGGTCAAAAGCAGCACCTTAAATCTGACCCTGTACTCCACCGGGAGCCAGTGCAGCTGGAAAAGCACTGGGTGAATATGCTCCCATGGCAGAGACCCTGTGAGGAGCTTCGCTGCAGCATTCTGCACCCGCTGGAGTTTCTGGGACAGCTTCAAGGGCAGCCCCACATAGAGCGAATTACAGTAGCCTGGAGGTGACTGTGGCCAGGTCGGGGCGGGAAAGATAAGGGACCAACTGCTTGATACGGTGAAGGTGGAAAAATGTCGCCTTGGCTGTTGTTGTAACCTGCGCCTCCATGGAAAGGGAGGCGTCAAGGATTACACCCAAACTCTTAACGGAAGGCAATGGCACTAATTGGACCCCTGCAAGAGAAGGGAGTTGGTCCCTCATCCCCATACCATCCTGACCCAGCCAGAGGACCTCTGTCTTTGAAGGATTTAGTTTCAATCGGCTCCCACAAAATCATCCAGCCACAGCTTCCAAACATCTGGTCAGTGTGTCCGGGATCAAGTCGGTATGGCCATCCATCAGCAGATAGAGCTGAGTGTCATCAGCATATTGGTGACAACCCAGCCCAAAGCTCCGGACAATCTGGGCAAGGGGGCGCATAAAGATGTTAAAAAGCATTGGGGAAAGGATTGTGCCCTGCGGCACTCCACACACCAAGGGGTGGCAATACGACATCTCCCTCCCTAGTGCCACCCTCTGTCCCCGACCAGAGATAAAAGAGCACAGCCATTTATGGGCTATGCCCTGTATCCCCACGTCGGCGAGGCAGTGGTCCAAAAGATCGTGATCGACCATGACCATGTCATGACTGCTGACAAATCTAAAAGGATCAGCAGTCCTGACCCGCCTCGATCCAGTTGTCTGCGGAGATAATCTGTTAGGGCGACCAGAGCCGTCCCGGTCCCAAAACCAGGACGGAATCCAGACTGAAATGGATCTAAAGCTGATGTTTCCCCCAGAAATCTACCAAGCTGTTCAGCAACTGCTCTCTCAATTACCTTACCCAGATATGGGAGATTTGAAACTGGGCGGTAATTGGATAGATCTAAAGGATCTAGTGAAGTTTTCTTTAAGAGCGGACACACCACTGCTTCCTTCAGCTCCCCTGGGAATATCCCCGTGCCAAGGGACAAATTGATAATTTCAACCAGGGGGGTCCGCGTGATATCTGGGCACGCCCTAATCAGCCAAGACGGGCATGGATCGAGGAGGCAGGTGGTGGGCCTACCAGCTTGGAGGAGTCTATCCACATCAGCAGGAAGTATCCGATCGAAATGGTCTAACACTGGACCCGATAATGACCCCTTAGATCAGGCATAGGCAAACTTTTGGGACAACAACTCCCATCATCCCTGACCACTGGTCCTGTTAGCTAGGGATGATGGGAGTTGTAGTCCCAAAACATCTGGAGGGCTGAGTTTGCTAATGCCTGGCTTAGATCCTTTCCAGCTGCTATTGAATACACCTACAGTACATAACATAAATGTGAACTTTGTGGTATGACATTCCTACAAACTACTAGGCAATTCTTCCAAACGAGTAATCCCAGATCCTTTCTAGCTAGATAGATGTTGACCTTCATGGGGCACAAGCCTGGGCAGTGTACAGTCATACCTTGTGTTGCGTTAGGTTCATGTTGCATCTTTTCGGCTTGTGAATACGGCAAACCTTGAAGTGTATACTTCCAGGTTTCGCTGCGTGCACAGAAGCGTTCAGCGCACTTTGTGCTCTGTGCTTGCGCAGAAGCCCGCTCTAGTTGTGGACTTTTTGGGGTTTCGAACAGCACCCTGGAACGGATCGTGTCCGCAACTAGAGGTACCACTGTATCTGGAGGTCCTGGGCTGCTTGGACGACAAAACTCTCCTCTTGGACTCAATGATGTGGTCCAAAGGAAAGCAGAGCAAGACGTTTGGCACCAGCTGGGCTGCAGGAGTTGCCGGAAGGAGGTGTACAAGGCTCCATCTGACCATCTTAGGGATTCCACTCCTGATTTGTGTAGGGTTTACTCCTTAGACTTTTCTTCTCCCAAACATACCCCACAAGGCAGCAGAGGCTTAGGATCAGAGTTGTCCTTCTCAATGATGGGCTGTTTTCCCAGGTTGATGAGCCCGATCTGCCCCTCACTTTTCTCTACGGCACGTGCACAAACTCTTATTGACGGTTAAACCCTCTTTTAGGCTATTCTGCTCAGTCTGCTGGTGTCTGTCTTTGCATGCATGGAAAGTCCCTAACTCACCAAGGGTATGAGACCCATTGGCTACCTTCACCTGGTTCAGCTGGGATGTGGCTACTGTCTCATGCTGACAGCTTCTAGGAGCCACAGGCCTGGAAAAGAGACACCAGGATTTATTTATTTATTTGCAGGGGACAGTGACCAGAAACTAACACACACACACCCCCGCCGCCCAAAATAAAAGATTAAAAGGAGAAAGACATTTCTCTGAAATTTTCTGGCTTTTTTCTGGGCCTTCCTGTCTGTTTCTAATAGGTCATTGCCTTCCTTCCTCTAGTCACCTTTATCTTGCCAAATCAAACTTTAACCTGTAATAGGACCTGAAAAACCTGATAAATTCATTCATTGAAAAGGTACATTCTCTCTGTGGATTTGGAGACTAAGATAATCTCTGAGGCAAAAATCAAGCAGATAATATGGTCCCTCAGCCTTTGGCTATAATGTCAGAGCTTCCAGTGAATTTTAGTGGCTGAGTCTTATTTTAGACTTTAGCCCATAGATGTTTGGCCTGATTCTGCAGTTATCTGGACAAATAGCAAAAAGTTGGAAGTTTTGGTGGGGATCCTATTGGTATGTTATACTGTCATTTACTTCCTACTGGATACATTTGTCATCGTTTGTTTTAGTCAAACTATCATTTTAGTAACTGCTGCTCATTTGCACTGCACAAGTTATTAAGAGGCATTAATGTATTCAGGTGTCAGCAAAGTTTTGAAAGCAATGGAGTCCTGCAGATATTTTAATCTCCTGCTCAGTGATCACCTCCCTGTGACTTTACAGTTTTATAAATGTTTCTGATTCTGCATTCATTTGAAAGAGGAAGGAAATACTGAATACTTTATATTCTGAAGTTTCAAAATTAGAATAGCTGAAGGAAGAGAGAATACGTACTCTACAAATAAGTAATCTGGCATAAAAATTCTTTTGTTACTGCTTCAAATTAGGGGGTATGGGTGGGGATTTGGCTGAAATTTATACTGTTTTTTGTCAGGCTCCAGAGCAGCACCAACACTTGTGCTGAAAGAGGACTCTCAAAAAATGGCCCCAGGACATAATTTGGATTATAGGTTCTTACTGTTATGAGCATTTGCCACACTTGGAAATGTGGATGCTGAGGCCTGGGCTGTTCAGAGAATTTACTTGACTGTCCTGTGATTTGTATCTGCTTTGTTTCTTGTTTAGAACAAAGGAAATGGGTTAATCACACCATGTCCAACTCCTTGGTTTTTATACTGGGCTGACCATTTTGACTGAAGCCTTGGTGACACAGGGAACAGGTGCAAGAAACATGAAGGACTTGTGTACCCTGTACTCCTTTTAATGTTTTGATCCTGTCTGGCAGGGCATTGTCTCCTCTGAAAGCGTTGGGCACAATGATCTTATCGCAGTGATGAATTGGACTCTGCAGCTTTGACATTACAAAGAAAGAGTTCTTGCTATGTTTCTGCATAAGATTTGAGATTAGCTGCTATATTTCATTTGTTTTTATTGTTGGCCCGTTTCAGTCCTTCTGAGCATGCCGTGTATAGTTGAGCGCACCAGGCGTCAGTTGGCATACTCTGTACTTTCTTTTTTTACAGGAATTAGAGCTTCATAGAAAGGTATCTGGGTTTAGGGTTAATCTTGCTTATTCAAGTTAAAGGCATCAAGATTCCATCTAAGGAAATGAGAGACCCACAGTGATTATCCGCAGTTACAGGGAATATTTAAAACCTGCTAATACTTAGGAGGGTGGTTTACCCCAGGTTGGAGGGAGCAGGAAACAAGGCCATGTTCTCTTATTTGCAAGCTTCCAGGGGCCTCAACCCATAGTTGAGTGGGGGGCAGATGCTGGTTTTCTCTGAAACAGGAGATGCTGCACTAGGTGGACTTTGGATCTGATCCAGCAGGGCTCTCCACGTTTTTATATGGACCATATCCTGGTAATAGAGGAAATAAATTATCACATTAGCCTGTGTGTACAATTGGGAAACAGATCTGCAAGTGGAACTGAAAGTGGAAGACTGGCATAACATTTGAGAGAGCTGTTCATCTTTTATTATGTGCCAGTTTTAAATAGCTGTCTTAAAAATCCAGATGGTGGGTGGCACATGATCTCTCTCTAGCTCATTTTTTAAACCACTGTTGGGGCAGGTCAGTGCTTGGGAGGATGTATTTCAAATAACAGATTTTCAACATGTGGTGTGGGATAAACAGGTCAGAAAAGCTTAGCAGGAATGACGATGCCTTGCTGTAACTGCTTGCATGGCAAAGAAAGAGGAAACTTGTGATAAAATGTTAAGAAATTGCTGAGAGTAGCCAAAAGCTAATGCCTTATAAGGTATTAGGACGGTTTGTGGGTGATTCAAAACCACAAGGGAAAAAGGAGGAAAACAGTTAGAAAGCTATTGCACTTGCTTAAAAGGGCTGTGAATATTAGTCAAGCCACCCCTGGTGGAGCTAAAGCTAATCAGCATGAAGAAGGGGGGTATGTAACGGTGGGGGTACATATCAAGGGGAAAACATGAAATAGGTGGACCAGGAAGTTGGTAAACTGCAATTTCCTAAACAATAGGAGATTGTAGGAGGGAAATTTGGACAGGCTTTAGCGTATAAAGTACCTTTGATGTGCCCTCTTTGCAGCATGAGGCTGGGGAGTTGCTCGCGCAGCGCTGTCTCAGGAATAAGCAACCTTTGGTTTTGCCTGACCCCAGTGTCAGACTCCTTCTTCTCACAGAGCAATTGACTCCCTTTAGGGAGGATTCCTGGGGCAAATTTGTCCAACAGGTGGGGATCTGAAATTTGTATAGGACTTTTGGTTTGAACAGCAGCCAATTTCTCTGCTACCCCTCACTTGTCTTTTTCTTTTAACCATCTAGCCTGCGGAAGAGTTCTGGGGACCTTGAAAGCTTGCACACTATTTTCTGGCATCTTGGTTAGCCTAATAAAGATGTTTTCTTAATATATATTGGACTTGATTGGCACATCAGAAGCTCCAGCCTATATCTTGCTGTATTTTAATGCCCTGGGGATGATACCATCACCAGTCCACCAATTGTTTCTTATTTAATGTTGGCAGCTCAGCCAGAGTTAGCTTAAAGTGGAATTCTTCAAAGGTAAAGTGTAGAATTTCTTCACCGCTGAGATGTTGCGGACAGTGTGTTTACTTTCCTTGAATCTATTCATTGAATATTCAAGATATCCTGAAAAACAGAAAATTGTATACTTTTTTCGGCAGGAGGAAGGAGGTCAGCTGCTAAAACTAATTCAGTTTTATTATCCTAATAGTTTACTTGTGATTGCAGTTTATGATAGTCCTGTTAGCATGGCATGAAATGGAGTAATGGTTTTTAACAGTGTTATAGATTTTGAAGCAAACTTCTTCAAAGGTTATTCTAATGGCTATAAAGACAAATCTTTTGTGTGTGATCTTGTGCAAATGTGGCGGAACCTGGATGAAAATTGGCATATGCTTTTGAGCTGTTTTTTGCAAAAAAATTCCTCTAAATATTTGGGACTGGCCAGATGCTGACAAGCGTGCCCTGGGTGAAGGGGTGCTGCAGACTGGGGGGGCACTGGTCTGTAGGGAGCTGTACCAGCCAAGAGGCAAGAGTCAGAATCAGAGGAAGCTTCAGAGCTGGAGGAAGAGGCAGACCAGGCAAGTGAAGGAGAGGGTGCCTCTCCACCCTCCCCTGTACCACAGTCTCCAAGAAACAGAAGAGAGCAGACTTGGCTTCTGTGCAGGCAGAGTGAGCGCAGCCTGTCAGGGGAAGGCGCATCAACTGGTGGAAGGGGGCTGGTCCCCAGTTGCTGCAACAGCGCCATAGAGTTCAGACCTAGGAATAGCTGGCTAGCCAATAGAGGGATGCGCGTAGGTTTCCAGAGCTGTTATCTTGGATAATAAAAAGTTAACTTTCTGCTGTGTCCTTGGCTAGGAAGCACCATTGGCACTACATTAGCTTTGGAGTAACCTGGTGGAATACATAAAAAGGTAAAGGATCCCTGGCAATTAAGACCAGTCGCAGGCGACTTTGGGGTTGCGGCGCTCATTTCGCTTCACAGGCCGAGGGAGCCGGCGTTTGTCCGCAGTTTTTCCGGGTAACGTGGCCAGCATGATTAAGCCGCTTCTGGCTCAACGGAACACCGAAACCAGAGCAGTGCAAAGAAACGCCGTTTACCTTCCCGCTGGAGTGGTACCTATGAATCTACTTGCACTTTTGGGCGTGCTTTCAAACTGCTAGGTTGGCAGGAGCTGGAACCAAGCAACGGGAGCTCACCCCGTCGCAGGGATTCAAACCGCCGACCTTCTGATCGGCAAGCCCAAGAGGCTCAGTGATTTAGACCACCCGCGTCCCTGGTGGAATACATACTCCCACATAAATAATTCCAGGGCATAACTAAAATGACTCCTCTCACATTTCAACATTAATCTTTTTTTTCCCCTTTTGTTTTTAATCTAGTGATTGCATAACATGCAAGCCGCTGATCCCAGAGGGAGGACTCCTGCCTTCCTTCAGCCTCAGAATGGAAGCAGCCATAAATCTTCTGGCTATTTCCCAGGAAGAATTGTCCCATTTCGTCCTCCTCCTCCTCCAAAGAACCAAGCTTCAGCCAAATTTACCTCTGGAAGACAGGAAGCTCGTGCAACAGTAGCCTCCTCAGCAGATGGGCAGCGCAGTCAAGCGGAAGCGAGCAGAAAGAAAAGACACAAAAACACACTCATCTGCTTTGCTATGTCTAGCTTTTCATTTTTTATTGCACTTGGCATTATTTTGGGGATAGCATCAAAATATGCTCCTGATGGTGAGTTTCCATTTCCACTACTTAGTACCACTACTAAGTGCCAATAGAAAAATCCAAATATTTGTACTGCTGTTTTGGAAGAAGATTGATAGTTTTTAAAACTAGTTTTTGTATAATTTATAATTGTATAATTTAAAACACACATAATTATTCCTCTGTTAAAGCAAAAGAAAGGGACCTTTCTCTATTGTTGACACTAGTGACTGTGATAAAGGCCCATTGGCTTCATCTGTTCTCACGTTCTGTGCTTCCACAGCAAAGTTACATAACATATAGAACAGCAGTAGAGAACTATTTGTCAGCATCCATATAGTCCCGCTCAAGGTGGCATTTTCCAGAAAAGTGTGTACCGTATTTTTCGCTCCATAAGACACACTTTTTCCCTCCTAAAAAGTAAGGGGAAATGTGTGTGTGTCTTATGGAGCGAATGCAGGGGGGAGGCAGGCAGGAAAAGCCCCCCAAAGCTGCACACAAGCTCCATGCGGCTCTTGCGGGCTTTTCCTCAGGAGGGAGAAGGGACTGACGCGGCCAGTCAGTCCCTTCTCCCTCCTCGTAGAAAAGCCCGCAGGAGCTGCATGCTCCTTAAAGGGTGTGCGGCTCTTGTGGGCTTTTGCGGGAGGTGGGGGTATTGCCATAGCCTCACGCAGCCTCTCCCGGCTGGAGAGGTTGCGCGTGGCTATGGCTCTTTGCTCTTTGGGGCCGGGGGGGGGGGGAAGCCGGGCTTCCCCGGCAGCCCCAAGAAGCTCGCGGAGCAGCGGGAAGGCCGCGCGCCTTTCCGCTGCTACCCGACCTGCTCTTTGGGGCTGTCGGTGGGCTTCCCCCCGCCAGCCCCAAAGAGCAGGTCGAAAGGAACTCCCGCCGTGCTCCGGAGGCTTCGGGTTGCCTTCACTGAAGCCTAGAGAGCAAGAGGGGTCGGTGCGACTGAAGGCGACTGAACACACCTTGAACGGCACATTGTTTTAGAGGGGGAGAACAAGAGGGGGAAAATTCTCCTCCCTCTGCGCAGTGCCTCCTGCCGCTTTGCTGAAGGGGCGCTGGGCAGAGGGGGAGATTTTTTTTTTCTTGTTCTCCCCCTCTAAAACAAGGTGCGTCCTATGGTTGGGTGCGTCCTATAGAGCAAAAAATACAGTAAATGTCTTTCCTAGTCTCATTACATGAACAGTGTTTTCTGAACAAAATACAGGACTGCATTGTACACACTGCAGTAGCATCATGTCTGTCAAGAACACTGGCAGGAACAGCAAAGAACCAGAGCAGAGTTTCTCCAGGTGACAAGTATTCTTGTGCAGCGTCATCACAGCTGATATTCCTTCACGCCACGTGCCCAACGGCTAGATGTCATCATGCATTTAGGGTTGGATTCCCATAATGAGCCCCTTCAGCGGAAGCCCTGCACAAGGACTTTTGCTTGCACAGCGAGACTTCCTGCCCCACCTCTTCCCCCTCTGTGCCCCACCCACACTTCCTGAGGTTGGGGGGAGAAATCATTCCATCTGAACATAAAATTCCTCACGCAAACCAATTATTTATGCATTTATTGCATTTATAGCCCAGCCTCCCAGGAGCCCAAGGTGGTGTACATAGTTCTCGTGCCCATTTTATCCTCGCAACAACCCTGTGAGGTAGTTAGGCTCAGAGTGAGTGACTGGCCTAAGTCATGCCGCGAATTTCATGGCTGAGTGGGAATTTGAACCCTGGTCCTGCTCCTACACTCTAACCATGCTTCTTATTTGACTAACCCTGCAGTTCTTGCTTGGTGGTAATTAAAGTAACTCCTCTCCTTATTAGTTCTGAGATTCACTCCTAGAATGTAAATCAATTACAATGAAGGGAGAAAGAGCTTCTAACCCATTTGAATCCCATGTTTATTTCTACGCTGTTATTGGGCTGTTAAAATAACTTTTAGTATCTCTTATGTTAACGTGATAGAGTTGACTCCAGAGGAGAGACTGGATTAGAATTGTTTAAAAAATGCACCTCCCCTCCTCTTCAAACACATCCAATTATTTCTTCTTCTTTTAGCCTTCCCTTGGTCATTTAATGATCCCACAGTGGGTTACAATGTATAAATAAAACAGATCCAATCAGAGATCCCAACCACATAAAAATGCAAATGATAACAGTATTGCTTGCAAACCTGCACTCAGTAGGGGGCCATATTAAATCAAACTCATGCAAAAACCTTGAGCGAAGAGATGGAGTTTAGGCAGTGCATTTAAAACTAAGTCTCTCATAAAAATTACTACAGTGTCAAATAACATTTATCAAGTGTTTCTGATAACTGAAATAGTCAACAAGAATTGGCTAATTACTAAAATTCATTAATATAGTTTTAACCATTATTAGCATTTGCATTGATAATTGGCACAGATGGTTTGAAGAAGTGTGCTTAAGATGAGTGATGGGGAGAAATTCCTAATCTCAGATAACTGGGAAAGGGCAAAAGGGGAGGGATCACAAATGCAAGATCGCACTTCAGTATTGCTGAGAACCAGTAGCACTACAGGTTGATTTATCCATGGTCTTTGACTGGCGGGTCATGGTCCTATCAGAGGTTAGTCGTAACAGAATACGACTGCCATGCAAGTATAGGGTGAAAGAATGAGGAATGAAGTTCCCAAAGCATGTTTGGTTAAAAGTGGGTCCTTGGTCTGAAAAGGTTGAAGACTAGAGGATTGAAAAAAAGACGGGCCTTCCAGAATTGGCCCAAACGTCCACCTAATATTGTATTCTGTTTACAGCAATTGGTTTGTCACAAATGACTCATCCTCATGTCTAAAATTGTGTGGTTGTTTTGTTAAAACATTTATTTTGCAATTTAAGCTGCTCCTGGGAATCTCTATAGTGAAAAGGGGGGTGTTGCATATTTTAAATAAAAAGCACAGTCATTTTATTTCATTTCAAACTGCATTCAGAAGGGTTTGGGTTTTTTGGCAGGGGAACTCCACATGGACATGCAAGTGAGCATAAAGAATAATAAGAAATCTATTGTAATTAAGGGGGAAAGAGCTAAGCAAGAGAGGGAATCCAAAGTAATTATGTTTTATCAGCATGAGCCAAATAAGTTTAATAGCAGGAAGCAACTCCTAATAGTCAAGTGAAACTTACTGTAAAGCTTTCTCTAAAAGGAAACAGGAACAACATGAGTGTAATTTTCACAATTTTATTGCATCCAAGTAAAGTATTGTATCAGGAAATGTTGAATCACTGGTAAGGAAGAATAGAGAGAAGGGAAATGAGTAGTTTGGCTGAATGAGTCAGTAACTTGTTGATATTGTACATGACTCATTGCAGTACCTGGGGGCAGAATGGAGCTAATGGCTCCCTTTTTTCACAGAAGGGCTGAAAAGGAGGCCATTGCAGGTTGTGATTAAAACAAAACAGAAAATGGGTATCTTAAACAGTAAAAAATGGCAATTGGATGAAGATGCCCTGTAAACACTGGGACACATGTAAAAATGGTCTTAATGTGGGCCAAAACGCAGAAGCTGAAGAGCAATGGTATTTCCTAATGTGAAATGTATACCCAAATGAATTATGGGAACAGCTGAACAGAGAGAAAAACTGAACAAAAACCCCAGGCATTTTGCATTGCCCTCTGAAACTCAAAGAGGGCATTCTCCTTTTCAGGGGCTATAAAATGAAAAGGTAAGAAAGACAGCCGAGTATTGATTGGCTAATGTGAAAGTGCAGATCATTTTACTTGAACTTCATTCAGATTCAGAGGATTTTTCTTATTCTCATGGGTAGAATGGGGAGCTTTTTACTGTGTCTTTATTCAAATCTGATACCAACAGAGTTGGATGAAAATGCTTGGAGCAGGAGTTGGCTGCCTTGATGCTTCAGTTATAAGTGTTTCTTGCTTCTGTTGCAGAAAATTGTCCAGATCAGAATCCTCGCCTTAAGAACTGGAATCCTGGACATGATCGAGAAAACAAAGTTGTACTCAAACAGGGAGATTTGTTTCGCCTCAGTGTGGATGCTACAGTGCACTCTATAGTGATACAGGATGGAGGTATGTAAAGTGACGTCCCAGCTTCAACATATCTTAGGGCCAAACTGACAAGATGAAGGAGCTGTGTTTACTTATTCCTATGTTTTTTCCATTTTTTCCATTACAAGGAAAAAGGAGTGTGTGTGTATAGCCTAAATTTTAGAATGGTATAATAATATAAGCCTAGAATACGTAATTTTAATAAAATACTTTTATAATTACAATGTTTTATATTTTATTTATTATAAAGTTACAATCACACACACACAATTTTGCGTGTGAATATAAAAAGGTGTAAAGTGTTGGACTAGGACCTGGGGGACTCAGGGATGAAGCTCGCTGGGTGACCTTGGGTGCTAGTCACTGCCTCTTGGCCTAACCTGCCTCACAGGGCAGCTGGGGGATTTCAGTGAAGGAGAGAGAGACCCATATGCATTACACTGTGATCCTTTGGGGGGAAAGGTGGAGTCTTGATGTCGTCATGTGGCTGAAGGGAGCTGCACACTCCTCACTCTCCTTGGTTGTACTTGGTCACCAAGACATTTTTCTCCTCAGACCAGTTCTCTTCTGGTATCAGATCTGGGCCTTCAGGAGGAGAGGGACAGGATTCTGCTCCCCTCACAGGCATAAACTTTCTGTTGTAAAGAAACGTCTCCATCCCTACTTCCCCTCATCTTTTGTTCTGATAGTTTTGGGGAAGTGTACTAACACATTGAAAGGATATTCTGGGTAAACAGTGTGAGGAAAAACTAACACTTTATTTTTCTCAATATTTCTTCCTATCTAAGGCATTTTCTATCGCAGCACTATATAAAATAATGTTGCACATAATTGGTCCATTTTTGAAATTGTTTTTTAGAATATAGCATTTGAAAAGATAGGGAACAATTAACATTGGAATCATGCAGTATTTCCAAATCTTGCAAGATTACATTACGAGAAGGGCATCGTGAGTTAGCTTGTTGCTAAGGTATTACTCGGTAATTGTTTCAGTCATTTCTCTTACTGAAAATGCTATTTGGCGTGAGGGAGAAAACATATGTCCCTAAAACGTAACTTGTATTTGTTATATTTGTGGATATTAACAGATCTCCAAGAAATGACTATCATACTGCAAATGACATAATTTTTTACTGTTTACATTCAGTACAAGTTATCTTGGAACAGGGAGCAGGCAGAGCTGAGTAACAGAGCAGCTTCAGAACAGGCATTTGAACCCAGTCCATCCAAAAGGAAGTTTCCTCCCAGTTTACTTCCTGTGCAGTGGAGAAAGAAACATTCTCTTCATAGCAGTTAACTTAGAGCATTTGTAGGAAAAAGCAATGGGAGAAGTTTACACTGAGCTCTGCCACCTCTCCCTCCCTTACCTGGGTTGCTCCTGTGGGGCAGGTGGGGCGCTCACTGGGGCCTCTTCGGCAGCTGCCTCACCCCATATCATGGGTGGACCGCCTCTGACTTCAGATGTTTTGGCCTACAACTCCCGTCAGCCTGTAGTCCAAAATATCTGGACACCTGATTGGTGGTTTCTGTTCTATCCATCCTTATCCTGCTAAATCCTCAGAGGAAAGTAAGCACGGCCATGTTACTTTTACAACTGTTTTCACTTAATTTGCTTATTCCTTTTAATATCCTGTAATGGATTTAGGGGTTGCTCGTGCGTACGTTGCCGCCACTGCTGGCGAGGTTACCTGGTTAAACCCTTTCTGACTGAACAGCCTCCAGCATCGTGACTGTCTCAGTCGCTGGCAGAATCCGTCAGTGGGCGTTTCTTGAACTTCTTCCAGCACAAAAGTTCTTTGACGCCAAGTCTCCTCCTACTCTCCCTGCGCGGAAGCCTTCTGCGCAGGGAGGGTGTGGGCAGCGGAGGACCCGTACTCTCTCCGCTGGTCTCCGGCGAGGAGTCTTGGAGCCTCCTCCCGATTCCCCATCTGCCCCCGTCTCCACTGGTGCTACGCTGATTTCCTTCCCCAGCAGATGGGCTGCCTCTCTCCCTACTGGGACCCTCTCCTGCATCCCTCTGGAGCCTTCCCTCCGCCTCTAGCTCCGATGGCAGTTCCCTGACATATCCTTTCCAAGTCTATACGTCTGCATATCTTCCCCACCTAGCTACTTCTTTGTTATTATGTTGTCGTTCTGGTCTGTTTTCAACATTTATTACTCCTGACTTCCTTCGGTACATTTTTTGCAGCTGTGCCAGGCATATCAAATACCTGCAGATTAAAAATACTGCTTGGTCATCAGTGTTTAAGAGCCTTACACAGCAAGATTTGTTTGGTAACTGTGCAAGGGCAAGATCCGGCTCGTAGGATGCAGTGCAGAATGTTTTGTTCAGCTGCTTTTGGTTCTTCGTACTTTTCCTTCCTCTGATAACTCCTTGACAAACTGAGTTATGCAGTTTTCCATTTGAAAACCGCTTTGTGTATTGAAATATAATGCTCACTAATTTTTTTAAGCTTTGTTATTAATGCAGTGATTAGTGTTTTTTTCTATACCACAGCAAATTTTTATTCCTCAAAAAATAGTTGGTTAATACTTACTTTATCGGTTGCTTACCAAAAACATTGTTCCCTATAGGATTGCTTGTCTTTGGAGATGATGAAAAAGGATCCAGAAATATAACACTACGAACACGGTTTATCCTGATAAAGGATGGTGGAGCGCTTCATATTGGAGCAGAGAAATGTCGTTATAAATCCAAAGCAACTATCACCTTATATGGCAAAATGGATGAAGGTGATTATGTGCCAACATTTGGCAAAAAGTTTGTGGGTGTTGGCCCTGGTGGAACACTGGAATTGCATGGAATTCAGAAGTTATCATGGACTTCTCTGTCAAAAACTCTGTATTCTTCAGGATTGGCCTCTGGCTCATATACTTTTGAAAAGGATTTTTCCCGAGGCCTCAATGTGAGAGTTATTGATCAAGACACTGCACAAGTTTTGGCAATGGACAGATTTGATACTTATGAATCTCAGAATGATAGCAGGAGACTTCAGGATTTCCTAAAAGGCCAAGATTTTGGTCGCATTGTTGCTATTGCTGTGGGAGATTCAGCCGCTAAAAACCTACTAGATGAAACCAGAACAACAATACAGAATCTTCTGGGAAGTAAGCTTGTCAAAGGATTGAGTTACAGGTAAAAAATAAAAAAATGTATTCTGTGCTCTTGTGGGGAAAAAGAAACTAATTTAAATTTCCTTTGGAGTTCAACCTGTATGTTCTAGCTCATGTTTTGACTTATGCAAATGTATGAATATGATAGGTTGTGCTTCAGAATATATCTTTGGAGGCAGCACAAGGAAGATGGTTAGTTTAATATTTTAAAGTTATAAACCCTTGTGAATTATAACAACGCAGCTTGGAGTTGTAACTGTGTACCCTTCCTCCCTCGAATTAGGGTATTTCAGTAATATGGCCATGCAACACTCCAGAATTCCATGCATATATTTTCCTTTGGGTATTCATCATGCTGCACCCCTATATTCAAATTTACATTGCATCAAAGTCTTCCCCCTCTGTTATTTTGGTTTTCATTGCAAGAATTAATACTAGCTATACAGACAAGTGCCACAACACTGCTTCTCTTCGCTGTTTTTGAATGTCTGTGTGCCAGTATTTGAAACTGTAAACTTGGTACACAAATTTTTACAAATTTTGATTTTAAAATTGAGCTTAAATATTTATTTTCTTACATTTCTTCTATCATGGACACCAAAGCCCATGGTCCCTGGGTGGTCACCCATCCAGGCATTGACCAAACCTACCTAGCCTTCAGGACATGCTCTTTCATATTGGAGGTTTTGGGCCGGGGGAGAGCCAGAAGTTGCTAGTTGAAACCATATACATATTTATTGTTGATCGTTTGGTATAATAAAAGTAAATTCTTTTATTCAGTTCTTTGATTTGTATATTTAACAACTGATAGTATGAAAGCAAAGCCTTTCCTTTGCACATGAGTCAACTAGTTGTGTTGTAACTAGTGGTTAATCCACCCCTGCATACATGCACTGCAAACATGACACATGCATTTGTTACATGATACATGTAATGTACCTACAGTTTTCCTACATACAAATACTATATGTGCAGGAAAATCATCTTCTAAGAAGCAGCTATAAGACTCACTTTGAATTATGTTCCTTCTGTGAAAGATCTTGAAAGCAGGCCCATCCTGTAAAATTCCCTGGTGTGCTTTTACTCTGCCCTGAAATGGCATTTAAAAGTCATGAGGAGAAAGAAAGGAAGGGAAGGGATTCCAAGTATAATGATGAAACATGCTGTGATTGGTTTACCTTCAGCTCTTGTAGTCCTGAAATTGATTAAAAGAAAAATGTGGAAAGTTTATTTCGTTTCTCTAGCTAACTTCTGTGTAAGATTCCTCTGACTGTCCAATTGTTTTAGAAGACAGATAAAACCCTTTTCATTTTTCAAAACATTTTCTTTTATTGTTTGCTTTAATTTTTTTATCTGATATTTCTGGATTGTATAAAAGGGTACTACTGCTTTATTTCAGTGTGGATTCATTTCAGATTGTTTTTATAGTTCGTTGTAGGTGATGACGCTTATTATGAAAAGACAGGGTAGAATTGTTTGAGCCTGTGCCAGTCCAGTGTACTTGAAATAATAGAGGAGACAGATTCATCTCACTACTGTGTGCAGCCGTTCTTTCATTTCAAGTGAGAGGTATCTCACTCTAATAAACTTGGTGCTATAATGGCGTTAGAGGAAAGGTTAAGGAGTAGATTGCTTTCCAGTGTTGTTTCCTAAGTGAAGTGGTGATGCATGCTGAGCATGAATTAAGAAGTGGTGGATATTTCTGATGGATTAGAGAGAGAATGTGTTGTTGCATGGGCTCCCTAGTAGATGTAAATTTGACTACTACTTTAACTTGGTGTGTCTTAGCAGGCTCTTTTACTTCAGACTTGCGCTTCTTTGCCTCATGGGGTGACTGGGCTATTCAGAACCAGAGCTTTGGTCATCTTTATGTGTCACCTGAAGATACAGTGGTGCCCCGCAAGACGAATGCCTCGCAAGACGGAAAACTCGCTAGACGAAAGAGTTTTCCGTTTTGGAGGTGCCTCGCAAAACGAATCTGCAATGGGCTTGCTTCGCAAGACGAAAATGTCTTGCGAGTTTTTTTTTTCCTTTCCCCCCTCTTTTTCTAAGTCGCTAAGCCGCTTATCTGCTTATCCGATAAGCTGATAAGCTGCTAAAAGCCGCTAAAAGCCGCTAATAGCGCTAATAGCGCTAATCCGCTAATCCCATCAATGGGCTTGCTTCGCAAGACGAAAAAACCGCTAGACGAAGAGACTCCCAGAACGGATTCTTTTCGTCTTGCGAGGCACCACTGTACAGGCATTGGAAGTTGAGCTAGGAATTTCCTTCTCATTCTATTTGCCCCCCTTTTAATTTTTTTTTAAAAAAGCATGTTCATCTTAGGAACTTGGCTGCTGGCTTGGTAGCTGGCTGAGTACAGGCCAGAGTTGGGCAGCTGACTTTGGCCAGAGGGATTTGTCCCCCGGGGGCACTGCACCACATTGGCTCTCATATGCTGGCTAAAATTCTAGCCCTGTGAGGGCCTGTACTTGATAGTTGCACCATGTGGGTCTGGCTCCAACAACACTGAGCTTTTCCTTGCGCTTGAAAGATACTTCCTTTCTCTTATCTACAGCCAGAAACTTCTACTGGATCAAACAACCTTCCATTATCATGAATGCACCATTGGATGCAATGTAACCCAATATCTTATATTCTTAAATAGAATTGTAAGGAAGCTATTCCATTGAGTTGAAATTCTTGGATAATTTGAAATGCAGCATCAGCAGACTTATGTGCCCAGCAAATGTATTCTGTAGTTCATAACCATGTTATATGAATGATGTAACATAGAGTGAAGACCTACTAAGAGCTACTGTTCTAGTTTCAAATAAGAATGCCAATTTTATAGCAGTTCGAAAGCACGTCAAAGTGCAAGTAGATAAATAGGTACTGCTCCGGTTGGAAAGTAAATGGCGTTTCCGTGTGCTGTGCTGCTCTGGTTCGCCAGAAGCGGCTTAGTGATGCTGGCCACATGACCCGGAAGCTGTCTGCGGACAAACGCCGGCTCCCTCGGCCAATAAAGCAAGATGAGCGCCGCAACCCCAGAGTCGGTCACGACTGGACCTAATGGTCAGGGGTCCCTTTACCTTTTTACTATGAAGCAACTGGGTTAAAAGCACTGGTCTGGGGGGGGGGTGTAGAAATTCTATCTCTCCCCCCTTTCCTAACATCTTGCCATTCTCTATGTTGTTATTAAGGCTTAATTTGTGAGTCAGATCATTTCAGGCACTTTGCTGTACCAGCTGCTTCTCTCCCAGTTCCAAACAGATATTTCAAATGAAACCATTGATTCTGCGTGAAAAGTAACTCTCCCTGAAAGCTTAAGCCTTTGCTCCAACTGAGGGTGAAGACAAAAGTCCTGTCAAAATATGCTGGGAGCCTTGAGCCCACATTTTCTGTCCTGAAAACTGATGCCTTGGAATGCAGTAAATGTTCATTCAAGCCATATCCAGTCACATTTTAGGGAGCCTGTGTGTGTCTTTACCTTAACATGGCCAGTTCTGCAGCTACTGACATCCTTGGGCAGCAGCCTGCATAGATGCAGCGTTACCGTTCTTTCGTAATGCTCAGTTTGTGTCTTGCTTCACACATGCTGTCTGTGGTTCTCTATCAAGTTCAGCTTACGAATCTTCCTTAGCATTCTTGTGTCTTGGCAGGGAGGGGAAGGGGTGTCCCTCAGCGATGGAGCATTTGCAGAATGCCCTAGGATATCTAGGTATAGGGCTGTTTGAAAGCCCTAGAGAGCCACTGCCTGTCAATGTCAAAAATACTGAGCTAGTCTGATCTGATACAAGGCAGTTTTTAAAGTTTCTATGAGGAGCTTATAATGTGGAAGCTGGAGGGACCTGGAAGCTCCTTTTAAGAGACACCTTCTCTCTCTCTCTCTCTCTCTCTCTCTCTCCCTCCCTCCCTCCCTCCCTCTTCTCCCCCCCTCTCTCTGCCCCCCCTCATTTGCATATGAGATGGGGAATGTGTGTGCTCTTATGGTGTTTGCAGAGCAGTTCATGGTTTTGGAGCGCAGTCTTGCAGAGCCCTCACTGCTCTGATTTTGAAAGGGAAGCAGTCTGCTGTTGCCACTCCCTTGTCCCCTTTAAATCCATAACCTGCAACATTGCAGAGGTTCATAGTACAGTCTATGCTTTTTCACTGTAATGGTGTCAGCCCTGTCGGCAGGCATCCCAGCCAATTCAAACGAGAGTGGATAACATCCATATCTGAGGTGCCTGGACTTGCAGTTGGACTGTTATGTTTAAAACTGGTGACTGTACAAGCTTTTCATAAAGAACGCTGAGCTAAAAATATCACACAACACTTTTCTTGAGCAGTTGTGTGCTGTTTAAATTTAGCTCTCCACTTGTGGAGGTTCTAAATGTAAGAATTGCTGGAAATGTTGATACCAGTTGGCATGCAACTTGAAGGAAACGAAATCCCTTGGCTGTGGTGCTGCCGAGTCAGAGCTGGCTTAGATTAAAGCTAATAGGAAAATCAGGAGCAACTAGAGGCATGAACGTAATGCTAGGGCAGTATAGCTTTTCAAAGCTGGAGTTAGAGAAGAGAGTCTGGAGGAGGCTCTTGGCTTGCCTACTGCTCTTGAACACGTAATTTATGGGGTGTCTACAATGAGGGCTCCATGCCAGCCTACTCAAATGTCCAGCTGCAGCACTGGCAATCTTTTATCAGCAAGGCTCCAGAAAATATAGGCATGGAAACGTTTTTCCATTATTGGTGTTCAGCATGGACCTACCAAAGAGTTTTCTTCAAGATGCCAAGGCACACAGTTAGTTCCACTGTGGTTCAAAATGCCAGTCCTGTTTGCCTCTTTATTAGTGAGGCATAACACCCTCTCCATCCCTACCAGTTGTTTCAACACAATAGAAAATGTAATGAATTTCACAGAGTTAGGGATGTAATATCTTTTACTGTTTTATGATTTTCCTTTTCATTGGATAATATACAAATATATGTAATTGGTTTCCATTTAGAGGAGAAAGTACTCCTTTCCAGACAATTATGGGATTTAATTAAAATCTAATATTTCCATCTCCCACACTGAGAGCTGGGCTTGCACTACTTTTTCACAAGCAGTTGTGAGTGGGACACAACAGTCTATATACATCCTCAGGGTTTTTTGTGGGGGGAGGGATATGGCAAGTGTTGCAAATTTTTGTGACTTCTGACAAGGGATGATAGCAATAGTACTTACAGCCTTATGCCCCAAAGTTATAAAATTCTTTCTCCTTTTTTTAAAAACGGATTTTGAAGAATGTTTCAGAAAACTAAGAATAACAGTTTCTAATACATTTGTACATGCTGCATTCTTGCTACTTGTAAACACCTGCACTAAGGAAGAGTTTTGTACTTAAACATGTATTTTATTTTTTCCAGGCAGGCCTGGGCTTTAGTTGGTGTAATTGGTGATGGAGATTCATCGTGTAGTGAGTCTGTGAGAAACTCTGAAAACCACAGCACGGGAGGGAAAGCTATCGCACAAAGAGAATTTTTTACTGTGGATGGTCAGAAGTTTGCTGTGAGAGCTTTCAGTGAATGGGATGATGGTATGGATATACTTTATTCTTCTTTTATAAAGCAATACAGGTAATGCAATAATTGAAAACAATCTTGTATAGCTGGAACTACTTAACTCTGAACGCACCTTCCTTCCATGCACCTGTGCTGCCCACTGTCTGCTGTGATCCTGCTGGAAACCAGAAGTGTCTGTTCCAAAGCAAAAATCCAAAAGGGAATGTAGTTTATATTATTCTGTTCATAGAATTGTAGAGTTGGAAGGGACCCTTAGGATCATCTAGTCCAACCCCCTGCAGTGCAGGGATATGCAGCTGCTCCATATGGGAATCGAACTTACAACCTTGGCATTATCAGCAGTCCTGTGCTTATAGCCAAAATAATAGAATACAGCAAGATGGAAGGATAGATCAACCTGCTGCCAATAATAATAATAATAAAAGTTTAACTTATTTGCAGATGTTGAATATTATTATAATTCTTTGTTTCTATATATATTGAGTTGTTGCTTTGGAAAACTGTCAGAAATGTGCAAAAAAAAGCGTCCCAAAGCGCCAAAGTCCTGACACACTTTTTCCACACAAAAGGTGGCAAACATATACCATCAGTCCTGGAAGTGTTCCAAGCTAAATCCCTAGCACAGCTATTATATGGGGCTCAGATCTGGACTGGCACTTACCTTGTATCTACAGAAGCTGTCCAATCAAAGTTTATAAGGCAAATTATTTCTGTGCCACCCTATGTCCCAAACCCATCATTGCACTTAGAGGCCAATCTCCCTTCGGTAGAATTATGGATCTGGCGCAGGACATTTGACTTCTGGCTTCGCCTAAAATCCCCCCGGTCAAATATCGCTGTCACAAGAGTGCCTGATCTAAAATAGTCTATCAAAAACTGCACAACCCCACAACAGCTACTCACTGTGGGTTATAGTAAAGCAAACAGTCTAATTTGTCAACGCCTAAATGATATCAATCGTCAGTACAAATTGGCCACAATAAGGAAATTTTGCCCATGGTATGACCACTTTCCACTTTCCCACTTTGATTCTCTGGCACCCTACCTGCATAACCTAGCAATTCCAAAATACAGACACGCTTTTACCCTCGCAAGATTGAATGTATTGCCCTTGGCTGTACTTGGGGGACGATTCCAACAGATTCCATACAAAAAATGCTTATGTCACTGTGGAGATGGCAGCACTGACTCAGTAGTGCATGCCCTCCTGGCTTGCACTTTTTACAAAGACATTATGACATTATCACCCCTCTTTTATTGCCCATTCCGGGTCGCCCAACCACTTCCACAGTGTCTTTTCTCCTGGCAGATCAAGAGGAGCAGATGACAGCAAAGGTTGCAAGGTTTTTAGCTGGGGCAATCAGAATAAGGTCCACAATTTGACTGCTGATTCAGCAGTGTGTGTTATATAATTGACTGCTTATTTTGTTCTGTGTATGCCACAATGTTTTTTTGTTGCTATGGCTGATGGCTGACGCAAAAAAATTTTTCATTCATTCATTCTTTCATATGCACACTTACTGTTTAATAAAAGGTCAACAACTTTGGGAAGCCACCCTCAAAACTAAGCTCAAGAACTTTGACCTGCCCCCAACCCCCCCATGGGTAGATCAGTGCCAACCCCCCCCCCCTGAGTAGATCACAGTCTCTTGGGAGTTGAATGTCCCTGAGATAGATGGTTCACTCTTTTTTCATTGGTCTCTTCCTTTGTCTTTAGTTCCCCACCATTCCATTCTCCTTCCTACCTCGTTTTCAGTTTGTTTCCTCTTAATCAGAATTGTGTGGTTATTGAGTCTCTATTTAGGCTGGTGTTTTGCAGGGTGTTTACCCCTTAGGAGTCTTTTTTTATTGTTGTTGTTTAGTCGTTTAGTCGTGTCCGACTCTTCGTGACCCCCTGGACCAGAGCACGCCAGGCACTCCTGTCTTCCACTGCCTCCCACAGTTTGGTCAAACTCATGCTGGTAGCTTCGAGAACACTGTCCAACCATCTCGTCCTCTGTCATCCCCTTCTCCTTGTGCCCTCCATCTTTCCCAACATCAGGGTCTTTTCCAGGGAGTCTTCTCTTCTCATGAGGTGGCCAAAGTATTGGGGCCTCAGCTTCGGGATCTGTCCTTCCAGTGAGCACCCAGGGCTGATTTCCTTCAGAATGGATAGGCTTGATCTTCCTGCAGTCCATGGGACTCTCAAGAGTCTCCTCCTTTTCTACTAAAGACTTTTTGTTTTGCATTTCTGTGAATTTTTAAGTAAACCACAAGTCTGCTGACACCTCCCTCTGAAGCATGGATGGTGCAGTGTTGTCTTTGCTTCAGTAAGCATGGGAATATTTTGGGGGGTGGGGGGAGTGGATAAGGAATCACATGAGAGAATAAGCAATTGATAATTTCCTCTTAGCTGCTGTACAATGCTTTTAATCTTGTTTATTGGTTTTAATGTGTAAATGTTTTGAGCATTTGAGGAAATGGTATTCATATGTTTTTAAAATAAATTAATATGTTTTGTTTGATTTTATTTATTTGTTTGTTCAAGGTGTTCCAAAGTCAGGTTTCCAGGTGGAAGCAGTGCATGGTGTGATACTGGATCTGTCAGAAGATGTTAGTACCTGGAAGCCTGAAGACCAGATTGTTGTTGCAAGCACTGATTATTCTATGTACCAGGCAGAAGAATTCACCCTCCTTCCTTGTTCAGAATGCAATAGATATCAAATCAAAGTTAAAGGTATGGTGCAAGCTTTTGCTTTCCATGTGTCTGTGGTCCTGATGCCTAGTATAAATGCAGTCACATTGACTTTCTGGCATTGATAAACTTTTCCAGCTGCTTAACATTCACTGCAGTCTAAGATCCTCATTTGACCCTGACGTGACACATACACACACCGTTGTACGTATCAGCACAAAGGAAGGGAAGTTTCATATCTCAAGTGTAGCATATGTCAGTGCTAAATTGTGTTTTGCTCTGGACGTGATTGAAATGCAGCTTCCCTTTTTACTGATTAATGTCCTATGCGCTTTCCTTTCGCTCAGTTGTTTTGGGCTGCTCTCTTAACCACACAGGCATTTATCATTCTTTACTGTGTCACTGCTCTTCCTTCCTTCAGTGTTTGTGCCATATCTGCAACATTAACAGCTGGAGATCTCTTGTATGGAGTTAGGAGATCAGGATAGCAGTTCCCCTCCCTCCCTATATCATTTATTCTGTTATCACCAGGTTGGGCATCGCTTTCCCTTGGGTGAAGACAGAGGCAAAGTTCCGCCTTTTCTCTGTCACCCAGTAGCATTTCTCCATCTTCCCCATGCAGAGGACCTACCACTTGCTTGTTGAGCTCCATCTAGGAAAAGCAAACTGATCTGTGCAGCTTGGAGCTGTGGTGAGACTGGGAGTTATGGCTAGGTGATCACGGTAGAGATGGTTGGTGGTGTATATTTGGGGTTTCAAGACTTGGATGTGGGGTGGCAGGAAGAGTTGGAACCATCCATACCTGGACCTTGTAAGTGTAGGGGGAAGGGAGAGGTAATTCAAGCTAAGAGATGCAGGTAGCATTTGGATACACATTTAGCTGTGTGCAAAGGTAAATAGCCTAAAGTTCTAGGAAGTGCTTAGAAATTTTTATTTCCTCTTGTGGTCTGTGCAAGTTTCATATGATTTCTGAGGATTCTCTGGGGCAAAACTTTTCTGGTGTGCCCAGCTGCCCCTTTTGCTTGAATCATAGAGTTGGAAGAGACCACAAGGGCCATCGAGTCCAACCCCCTGCCAAGCAGGAAACACCATCAGAGAACTCCTGACATATGGTTGTCAAGCCTCTGCTTAAAGACCCCCAAAGAAGGAATCATAGAATCATAGAGTTGGAAGAGACCACAAGGGCCATCGAGTCCAACCCCCTGCCAAGCAGGAAACACCATCAGAGCACTCCTGACATATGGTTGTCAAGCCTCTGCTTAAAGACCTCCAAAGAAGGAGACTCCACCACACTCCTTGGCAGCAAATTCCACTGTCGAACAGCTCTTACTGTCAGGAAGTTCTTCCTAATGTTTAGGTGGAATCTTCTTTCTTGTAGTTTGGATCCATTGCTCCGTGTCCGCTTCTCTGGAGCAGCAGAAAACAACCTTTCTCCCTCCTCTATGGGACATCCTTTTATATGTTTGAACATGGCTATCATATCACCCCTTAACCTCCTCTTCTCCAGGCTAAACATGCCCAGCTCCCTTAGCCGTTCCTCATAAGGCATCGTTTCCAGGCCTTTGACCATTTTGGTTGCCCTCCTCTGGACACATTCCAGTTTGTCAGTGTCCTTCTTGAACTGTGGTGCCCAGAACTGGACACAGTACTCCAGGTGAGGTCTGACCAGAGCAGAATACAGTGGCACTATTACTTCCCTTGATCTAGATGCTATACTCCTATTGATGCAGCCCAGAATTGCATTGGCTTTTTAGCTGCCGCGTCACACTGTTGGCTCATGTCAAGTTTGTGGTCAACCAAGACTCCTAGATCCTTTTCACATGTACTGCTCTCAAGCCAGGTGTCCCCCATCTTGTATTTGTGCCTCTCATTTTTTTGCCCAAGTGCAATACTTTACATTTCTCCCTGTTAAAATTCATCTTGTTTGTTTTGGCCCAGTTCTCTAATCTGTCAAGGTCGTTTTGAAGTGTGATCCTGTCCTCTGGGGTGTTAGCAACCCCTCCCAGTTTGGTGTCATCTGCAAATTTGATCAGGATGCCCTTGAGTCCATCATCCAAGTCGTTGATAAAGATGTTGAATAAGACCGGGCCCAAGACAGAACCCTGTGGCACCCCACTAGTCACTCTTCTCCAGGATGAAGAGGAACCATTGATGAGCACCCTTTGGCTTCGGTCAGTCAGCCAGTTCCAAATCCACTGAGTGGTAGCATAGTCAAGACTGCATTTTACCAGCTTCTTTACAAGAATATCATGGGGCACCTTGTCAAATGCCTTGCTGAAATCAAGGTAGGCTACATCCACTGCGTTCCCTTCATCTACCAGGCTTGTAATGCTGTCAAAAAACGAGATCAGGTTAGTCTGACATGACTTATTTTTCAGAAATCCATGCTGACTATTGGTGATCACAGCATTCCTTTCTAGGTGCTCACAGACTGTTTGCTTAATGATCTGCTCCAGAATCTTCCCTGGTATTGATGTCAGACTGACTGGGCGGTAATTATTAGGGTCCTCTCTTTTCCCCTTTTTGAAAATAGGGACAACATTTGCCCTCCTCCAGTCTGCCGGGACTTCGCCTGTTCTCCAGGAATTCTCAAAGATGACTGCCAATTCTCAGAGATAACTGAAATACATATCTCAGCATCTTACTAGTGAAATTTAATTTCTGCTTCTCTTAATCCTTGGGCTTCAGCATCTGCAGATGCTCTCTCACATGAATGAGGAAAGGCAAGCAAATTACTCCCATATGGAAGCAGTTCTTCAGCTTTCTCTTCATTTAATATCCAGTTTCCTTCAGTGTTCCAAAAATGTGTCAAGAGCCTCATCCCTTCCTACTTTTCAAACATGTACAGTCTTGCTAGGTTTTGATGGAAGAAATAAACTTAATTTGAGCTGTTAACATTTGGAGGTGTACATTAAGTTATTTTCTTTGTTACTTTTTGTAGTTCGCATGCTAACGAGTTTGATTTGAAACTGCATCTATGCTATGTGTGTTTAGAAAAAAATATGCTCCCTACATGGTTATGAAAGAGCTGTTGCACAGGTGGTCAATAAAAGTTTTACAGAACTTGTATTGCTAGACTGAAGTGCTGGCTGAACACTTTCAGAAAAGAGTAATGTGGAACTTAAAGCTTTTATTGAAGTGAGACCAAGATACATGATAGTTTAGCTTTTTTCCCGTCTTGGTGCTTTGTTATTGTTCTACTCTATGCCATGAAACCAGCCCACTTAGTAAAGAGAATCTTCACTATGGCAAAAGTGGATTTGGTAAAAATACTGGATTCTGCTAGATAAAAGGCCACTTTTAAACAGGAGAAGTTTGATTTTGGGTTGTTTTTTTAAGGCAAAGTAAAGGAATTTGTGATAAAACATTGAAGAGAGAGAGAAAGATATTAAATATTATATTTATCTGTAAAATTATTCCTAACTGTAGCTATGAGGCCTGTGAAGCCATATCATATTTTCAGCTTCTGAAGCTATTAAAGTAGCTCATTCACTTTCCTTGTCTAATGTAAGTGTCCTACCTTAAATTTTGGTGTGAATGTTAAAACTACAGAAACTCAGCATGATAAAGGATTTGGAAGAAAGTAATTCTTGACTGCCACATCAACTGTCATCTCCCATTTATGTTTTTGGTCATCCATCTGTACATGGCCATTGTAGACCACTTTTCCTTCCAGATAGTGCTCCTAGAAATAATTTGTATGGCAAAATCATCTGTGAACAAAATAATGAACGCTTGAGTGGGCTTCATTTTTCAAATTTGTACAGATCCTAGGAAGGTTTTCATAAGATCAAACCATATGTGAAAACTTCAGCATACCTGTTCATTTTCTTTCTGACACATGGCAGGCATAGCACTAGATCACATGAACTCCAAGGTGGGACAAGATTCATCTTCCACTCCATAGCTCTGCCTTTCCAGGAATGAAGCTTAACTGTGTTAGCAGGTTGCATACATTCACAACAGATAAGAATCAGAGACCTCCATTTTTCACTTGCTTTGCCTTTGAACATGAACTTCTCTTTCAAACAGAAATCCCTCAGTTCCTTCATATAGGAGAAATTGTTGATGGAGTGGACATGAGGGCTGAGGTCGGAGTTCTTACTCGGAACATCTTAATAAAGGGAGAGATGGAAGATTCCTGTTACACTGGCAAAGAGTGCCAGTTCTTCCATTTTGATACTTTTGGTGGACATATCCAGGTATGGACGGGGGGGGGGGGCATGCATGTGGGGGTGCTAAATTGCTTCCTGTCATTGGCCCAGTAACTTTTGCTGATGCAGACTTTCCATGGTGATTACTCCCTTCCTGTTTTGAGATATAATATTAAAGTTGCCATATTTCAAAAAGTAAAGACCAGGACACTCCAAAGTTGTTGATCCAGGAGAAAGCACTGGCACGGACAGGAATTCTGCTTTTGAAATCCCGGTAGTGTCCAGGAAAATCCAGACGTATGGCAGTCCTATTACATGTACAAGTAAGGCTTTACACTGAATACAACTATGGCAGTCTTGCCTATAGCAGGGGTAGCCAGTGTGGTGCCACTGGGGACGTGACCTGGAGCCTTACTCGTTTCAAAACTGTGCTCTGTTTATAACTCTTCAGTGTAATTGGATTTCCAATGTAATAGTTTTGATGCCGTTCTGTATTGTTGTGTGTTTATCTGGGGGGAAAGGGTGCTTTAAATCTTGTAAATCACTGAACTGTTGTTGATCTGGGGGAAAAAATGAATTGGTAAACAATGAGATTATTTTTTGTGCTCTTCCAGATTCTGAAGAATTTCACCTCTGTTCACCTCTCTTACGTGGAACTCAGACAAATGGGTCAGCAGGTCCATGGAGCTTACCCTGTTCACTTCCACCGCTGTGAAGATGTGGACGAGAAAGGAGGGTACAACTACAGGACTTATGTAGAAGGCCTCTCAATTCATCACTGCTTCTCTAGATGTGTGACTGTTCATGCAACAAATGGCTTGCTGGTAATAGCAGTGCTCCTTTGCCTTCCCCTCTACTTCAAACTTCCTCTGTTACTGACCTCTTTGGATCATGCCATGCTAACCATGGTTAGTTGCAAACTTCTATTTGCAACTGTGGTTAGAAATGGTGTTGCCAGTGGTGCAGGCATAACACGAATCAAGGTTACAGCTGCAAAGGGAAGGGAGGAGAGTCTCTGGGGCACTCAGGATCACATGGCCATGGTTAGGAGATCGGGCAGTATTTCATCTGCACAAATCTCTGGATGTGGGTTTTTGGATTTATTACTGTGCTTATCTCTTTCAGTCCCTATGGATATTAGCGTTTGTGAGGAGGTTTCGTCCTAACTGTAGGATCTGATAAAGATGAATTGAGCAGTTTGTAATTGTTTCCTTTTCTTCAGCAAAGAGGATGCACAGGTGTATGGAAGACACATCATCGCTTGGCCTAAGTGTCAGCATCATCTAGAAGCTTTTTAAATTTGATTGACTGGTCTTAAGTTTTGATGATAACACTAAGATCCACTTCAGTGTTCTTGGCCCTGGGAACCTGGAATCATGAGATTGCCTTTCCATGTTATCAATTGCTTGTATGAAGTGTTGGCTAGATGATTGGATCAAGTGCTAACCATGTCATGGAAATAATATTGGGGAGTGGGACAGGGCTTTCCTAGCACATCAACCGAATAACATGCCACTGGCTTATGTGTCCCTATGAATACATGTGAAAATAGGGTTTAATGTTTTCATAAGTTTTTGTTTTGTTTTGGGAGTATGCTAGAATATTTTTTTATAATTTTTGAAATCTGCATTTTGCTCCTGAACCTCATGATTATTGTCAGCTATCTATCAACACATCTGGATAAAGTGATGTATGAGACATAATATATAAACATATCTGGCAAGAATTTGAAGCCTACGTTCATCCTAAAGTTCTGCATTTGTGGGCAGAAAAAGTGTGTGGTTCATTATTCTGATTTAACTATTACATTGCTAACAGTGAAGTGTCTGTCCTACTGCAGCTGTGTCAAAATAGTGAAGATGTAATGCAGTTCTCAATATAGGCTTTTGGGAATGACATAAACTTTTATTTCTGCAGATAAAAGACACCATTGGATATGACACACTAGGTCATTGTTTTTTCCTGGAGGATGGCATTGAGCAGAGGAATACACTGTATCATAACTTAGGGCTAGTCACCAAACCAGGCACACTCCTTCCTACTGACAGGAACAGCACAATGTGCATGGCCATGAAGGATCATGTCTATGGAGCCTATGAGCCAGTTCCAACCACAGACTGCATGTGAGTGACTGGCTAAATGATTGGGGGTGGGGGTGGGACTGGAATTTCAGGTGCTGATTATTTGATTGGTATTCTATACAGAGGTAACTTCTTTTCAATAAACTACCCACAGTCTGTGTACGTGGCTTCAGTGCTGATATGTTGAAGGAGGCACTGTTGTACAGTGGCTAGCTCTCTATGCTGAGCCATTGAAGACTTGGATTCAAATCAGTGCTGAGCAGTGTAATTCATCAGGCAACTTTAGGCTAGCCAAAGAGATTGATTTGACAGGTTTGTTGAAATATGAGCTTAGCTGAATATATATTGCATCATTTAGCCTGTCTGAAGTCCGTGGAATGCAGCAGGAAAGACTTAGTGGCTTGGATCCAGAGCTGCCATGCTACAATTCTCAGGGCTCTCTTCCATTCACAGAATGGCTTTAATCCAGTGAAGGTTTCCACCGGTGGAAAGGAAGGTGATTTTCGTTGATTTCCCTTTTCCCTTGTAGCCATTTCCCATGCTGCTCCAGAGGGTCCCCCACTCTCCAGAGCACATTTGGAGAAACATTGGGGAGAATTGGTGAAAATCATTCTCCTCTACCTTTTCCCACCAGCAGGTGCATCCTGTGAGAGACATTCCACTCCTGAGATCTCAAGATCCAAGCCAAATATTCCTGTTTTAGGAAACAAAATGCATAGCGTTCCAAACGACAAAAGGCTATTAATGAAGAGATTGTGTTAGATACGTCCTCTCTTCCACAGTTGATTCAGATAGTATGTGATTTTACTTCAGGGCCTTAAGTTTCAGTATAGGAAAGCTATATTTGAATTGTTTATCTATTCTTTTAAGCATTGTTGCTCAATCTGCAGAGATCCCCCACCTCAGTAAAAATGAGCGTTGCTTAAATTTGCAAGTTTACGCTCTTACTGGGAGCCAGTGTGGTGTAGTGGTTAAGAGCGGTAGTCTCGTAATCTGGGGAACCGGGTTCGCTTCCCCGCTCCTCCACCTGCAGCTGCTGGGTGACCTTGGGCCAGTCACACTTCTTTGAAGTCTCTCAGCCCCACTCACCTCACAGAGTGTTTGTTGTGGGAGAGGAAGGGAAAGGAGAAGGTTAGCCGCTTTGAGACTCCCAAGGGTAGTGATAAAGCGGGATATCAAATCCAAACTCTTCTTCTTCTTCTTCTACTGTGAGACATATGAGTATCTGTAGGACCTGCTGCTTACACTCTTTCCATTTGTGTCACTTTGCAGGGCTGTTTCCACATTTTGGATTGCTCATCCCAACAATCACCTTATAAATAATGTGGCTGCTGGCTCTCAGGTGAGGCTCTTGGAGCACTGGGTTAACTAATTCTACAAAATGGAAGCATACTGGAAGCATATAACGTTCATTCATCTCCCTGTTTTCTTATCATAATGTCCTCATTTTTATATTTAATATGCATAAATGATGCACTGTTCAGAAAAGCTCATAAAACCTATATTATAAATCACGGGTTGGATTTGAACTAAGTTAGTTGAACCCAATTAGTTTCAGTGGTAATTAACAGGGCGGTCCTAACCCATGTCTTATTAAATTCAGTGGGGTATACTTCTAGGTAATTGGGATTAAGTTTGCAGCCTAAATTCAGGGAATTTAGCCTGGATCCATTTCCATGTATTTTGCTGAATAATATTTTTCACTTTGCAGACCTTTTTCTTCATGTACAAAGATGTTTAAAGAAGATTTGCTTTTATCTTTTACACGCCAGTAAAACTGTGTTACTTCAAATGCACTGAAAAATCTCCCTATTCCAAAGAAAAAAGTTACTTTTTGCAAATTAAAGGTTGTTAATTTAAGCATAAATCTCTGTGGTCTAACTGGTTGGATGTCTTTTTATTTTTAATGGTAGCTTAGTTTTAGGGTGCTGAGACCTAAATTGGTTAGATTTTATTTGAAAACTCATTTGACTCAATATTTTACTTACACAGGTAGAGTGCCGTACTATTCACTATGCAGTAAGAAACAATGAAATTTACATTTTCTGTTCTTACGGTATTCGTTAGTGGGCTGGAGATTAGGGCCTAAGACTAATCTTAACTCAGAAAGAGTCCCATTGAATCCATTGGAGCCTACAGAGAAGGGTTTATGGGGAGTTAGGGGAGGGATAGTACCTCTGGTTGTGCTCCTTCTGGGGTAGTTGGTCCACTTTGTACGCCGCCTTCTGGCAGCTCCTGCAGCGAAGCTGGTGTCCAATGCCTTGCTCTGCTTTCCTTTGGACTGCATCAGTGAGGCTGAGAGGGGTCTTGGCATCTGGGCAGCCCTGGACCTCCAGACACACTGCCCAGGCTTGTGTCCCAGGAAGGCCACTTCAGTGCTGCTAATGGAGCAGTGTGACTTCACCCCCAGAGGAACACTCCATTGTATCCCAAGGCAAGCAGATGCCCACAGCTTTCAAGTAGGGGTAGGAGTGCAGCCTTAAATGTAATGAGAAATGTAAAGTGTATCAAGGAAAAGGAATAACACTTGTGTATTAGAATTCAGAATAAAGATGATTGTGGTGATAACTGCATTTTCCTTTAAAAGAAAAGAGTATTTATGAGTTACTATCAAACTAGATAATAAGTTGGGAGTCCCAGTAGTGGTAATGTTTGTTTGGTATATGAGTTAAAAAGCAGAAGCTGTCCTTTATTGTCTGTCAGTTTAAAGACAGTTTGAAGGGTTGAATCAGAATTCAGGATGAAAAGACCAGATGTGAAGAGCTTATGCATGAACCAAGAGCGAGTGCTTACATGCATGGGAGTTCATAGGTTAGTGGGGAGCACTGAAAATTTGGGTTGTATGTTAAGTCAAGCTTAACTATTTTGACATTTTGAGGTGTAAAATATATGGGGAAATCCAGGGAAGATTTGAAATTGATGAATAAATATTGTGAAGGTTTCAAAGAAGCTAGAGCTTTGCCCAGGGCGTTCTCTGCTGGGAATTTTCCAGGCTGGGTCTTAGGGGTACAGATAGTGTTTTCCACTCAGGCTGCAAGGCGACCCTGGAGAATCACCATGGAGACCTTTTGCAGCCACTCTTAGAGCTGCACTGCTAGTTCTGGTTGTTGTTTTTTGCAGTGGCCTCTTTGCACCCCATGGTTATGGGTGCTTTTCTGTCCCCAGACTCTGTGCCTGCAAATGGAAATGATTTCTGCACAGCCTCCTGGGCTGCAAATGACAAAGAGATTCATGCAGCCCAGGAAAAGTGTCTCTCACATGTGCAGCCAAGAAGGCTTCACCCTCAGGGAAGGAGGGGAAAGAACTGGGCAGCTTGGTGGTTTAATTCAAGCAGACCACTGAGAGGGCTTCAGTGTGTGTGTGTGTGTGTGTATGGGGGGTGGTGGTGTTGTTGTTGCTTGCTTGCATGCTTGTTTACTTGATTGTTTGACTTGACTGGTTCACCATGCAAACCTTCACTTGCCTCAACTTGGACTGGACAAGGAGACATACTGCAAGGGCCAGGGAATTTTTTGTTTGATCCTGTGCTGCAGAAGGAAAAAGCTTTCTGGATCTACTTTCCTCTGAAGGAGAAAACCTGTCAACAATCCTTTAAGAACTGAATATTTTTTTAAAATATTATTGCTTTCCTTGGCAACCCCAGGAAGAACAGTAGGAAATGAATTTTGTAACAACAGCATGATATGAATGATATAAAAGTAGTTATTGTTAATGTTTTAAGATAAGACCATGAGAAGAGCCCTGCTGAGTCCTGCTTGTCCAACTTAGTGCAGCAGGAGTTTGTTGAATTAGGGGCCATCCCCGTATCCTGGGGTCGGCATTCAACAAAGTGCTGTGTGAAGAATTAATTCTTTTTGTCTGTCTTAATTATTTCTCTTGTTGGAACAGAAAGACCCCTCTCTCTACATCCTGTACAATTCTATAAAGCTTTTATAATGTTCCTCCTTACTCACCTTTTTTTCTAAACCTGAAAACCTTGATAGTTGTCACTTTCTGTAAAGGGAAGGTGATTCAGCCCCCTCATCATTTTTGCTGCCTCTTTCTGCACTTCCCCAGCTCTTCATGGTGGTTCTTGAGGGGTAGTTAACAGAACTTTAAGCTGTATTCCAGGTGTGTGTAAAAGTATTACTATACTAACTTTTTTAAAAAATCAATCTCTGGCATGGAATTCAATTTACTCAGTGAGCAACAGCTTAAGAGAACATTTTTACTGAGCTATTCACCACATTCGTAAGAGTTTTCTTAGAGAGTAATCACCAGTTGACACCCCATCAATGTGAAGTTGGGGGGGGGTGTCCCAATGTTCAACACTTGCTATTTTGTTGCCCATTCACCTATTTTGGAGAGATACTTTTTGAACTCATTGCTCTATATTTTGGTTTTTACTACCCTAAATAATTTGCTAGCATCTGTAGCTTGGGTCCCCTTGTTGCTCACCCCTAATGCCAGAAAATTTATGAACAAGTTTAAAAACACTCACCAGTCCTTGGAGGACTGTAATTAGCTGGGAGTAAGAAGCATAATGTGCTTTCTAGGATTAGAAAGCGCATTATGTAGTAGTAATTATGATTGTGTTGCCGTGTTCCTATCCAAACGGATCCATGACTAAGTTTATTTATCACCTCTTGTTTCCAGGATGCTGGCATATGGTACATATTTCACAAAGTGCCTACGGGAGAGTCTCATGGGTTGTTTCCTGAAACCAAAGCTGAACTAACACCACTAGGAATTTTCTATAACAACAAGGTGCACTCCAACTTTAAGGTAAATAATTCTTCAAATGAACTGAAGAATTATGTATGATTTCTAGTCTAAAGTACCGTATTTTTCTCTCTATAAGGCGCACCTGACCATAAGGGGCACCTAGTTTTTAGAGGAGGAAAACAAGAAAAAAAAATATTCTGAATCAAATGTTGTTGGAGAGGAGTTTTAAGTGGGGAGGGAAGAAAAAACACTGAAGGGACAAGGAGCATGCGTGGGGCGTGTGGAGAAGGAGGTGGCTAACGATGCAGGAGAGGGGTTTAAGGGGAGGGAGGAAAAGAAGGCAAAAGTTTTCTTCCCCCCCCCGTCCAAGTTAGCCCCTCCCCTCTCTCCCTCACCTGCATGTTTTCTGGCTGCCTGCGCGTCCATGGCATGCTTCCCTGGACGCAGCACCGGAGAGGAGGAAGCGGGGGCAGCTGTCGTTTGCGCTCCTAGCCGCTGGAAGCTGAGCCGGGTGGGCTGCAGCCTGCGCGCAGTGTGGCTAGGAAGGAATTAGCAGGAAGGACGCGATCCTTTCCCCTCTGCTTGCCGCGAAGGCAGGGGGTTTCCCTGCTCTTTGTTGTGTTTGTCTGCCACCAGTCTCTTTCCTTAGCATGTCTGCTTACTGCGAGGTGATGCTGCCACAGCTGGCGCTGAGCAACGGAAGGGAAAAGGATCATGTCCGCCTGCTAATTCCTTCCTAGCCGCCGTCACCTCGCAGCAAGTAGACGTGCTGAGCAAGGGGAATGGGCCATCACTGGCCCGATCCAAGCAAACACAGCAACCGAAAACACAAGAGGGTGGGCAGTAAGACCCTGAGGGAGAGGGCAGGAAAGGAATTCACTGTAGCTGTGTGCTCCGTGCCAGAAAGGGACAAGAGCAAAAGGCGGGGAGCAGCGGCTGACTTTAACCGCCCAGGTAAACTGTACGCGGCGGGGAGCGCAAAACAAAATAGGAGTGGCAATTGAATCCTTAGGAAGGCGCTACAATAATTAGGCAAGGGGAACAGGGCTGATGAACAAACGGTAGCCTTGGGATGCCGTACAGATGGAGAGGCTCCACACACAAGGACACTCAAAACGCCCTCTTTAACCACACGCTCTCCCGTGCAGCAACACAACTCACACTCCTCCACACACACACCAAAATATTCCCAATACAGGAACCCCAGCAGCCTCCTCATGCAGCCTTCCCTCCTCCGTGACACACGATCCGATTTTCGCCCCTGCACTCTGGCGATTCAGCTCCAGGGACCACACATTCGCTCCATAAGACGCCCAGACATTTCCCCTTACTTTTTAGGAGGAAAAAAGTGCATCTTATGGAGCGAAAAATACGGTAATTGCAAATGATGATGATGATGATGATGAATATCATTTACCGTACTTTTCCATGTATAACATGCCCTTGTGTATAACACACACACCCTGCCAATTTTGCGGGACTCAAAATTAAGAAAAGGGGGGATTCCCCAAGTTCTTGAGCTTTTTGGGGGGCATAGTTGTTGGGCTTTTTTATGTGGAAATGCAAAAAGTCACTCACCCGCCAGACTGACAAAGCAACCTATCCTCTTTCCCATCACTGAAAAAGCCAATTGCCGCAGCGACAGCCAATCAACAACAGCCCTTTCAGCAGCCACCAATAACAATCTCCCATGCCCCATAATGCACTACCCATGTATAAGAAGACCCCTAATTTTGAACATGATTTTTAAATTTTAAAAAATAGGCTTATACATGGAAAAGTACAGTAATTTTTTACGTTTCTGTAGTGCCCTTCATCTGAGGATCACAGGGTGGTTTACAATATAAAAACACAAAAATGCATACCTTAGTAACAAACAAAACCAATCACCTCCTCCCTGATGCCCTCTCCCCAAATTGCAGACAGACCCATCTTTTCTCAGGATTCGTGGCCAGATAGACATTCTGAGCATCTCCAAAGAGCCCAGCAAAATCATACTACTTGACTACATTCAGAAATTGACTATGACGAATTGCCTCATTGGAATGAACTTGACATTGCCATAATTTTTCATATTCTTGTCATCTTTCCAATTGGTTTTTGATGTCGTTCCAACATTTTCTTGGTGTTCTTCCAACACCAGCCAAGCCAAAGGAAAGGCTTCATGTTATTGTGGACATGCTAAGTAGGTTCTGCAAATAGAAAGAATGCATGCTGACATTTTCCAGTTCATTGTCCTCGAGTCCTAGAATTTTAGCTGAAAACACATTCCAAGTCTTAGGTGTGGTAACACGAACTCTTCACTTCCGTGAGATGGCTGTTTGAGAAGAAGGCGGCATTTTACTGGCTATGACCTAGGATAGTATAGTGGGTGGAATATTCTGAAATGTTCAGTTTCTAATGCAGGAGACAAGACTCTCCTGATTTCTTTCAGTCTGTGAAAGCTTCAAGAATATGTTCCTAGGCACTTTTTCCTTCTCATATTAGCTGTTGTAATTAAGAACTGCAAGACTATAAACACCATACTGGTTATAAAGTTATTTGTATCTTTTTATTATTTCAGGCTGGATTGTTCATTGATAAAGGTGTGAAAACTACCAATGCAAGTGCTGATGATAAAAGGGAGTATCTGTCTTTGGACAATAACGCAAGGTAGAACATACTGTGTGGAAGGAAGTGATTGAGGATTAAATACAGGAGTGTTATTTTTGTTGTCCAGAATTTGCAAACCCTAGCTTAATGCACATGGAATGTCTTAATGTAGTTGTGCACATGTTTTGGCTGCTGAATCCACAATTTTTGCAGCCTTATTAATCATCTGGATAGTGAAACACTTCCAGTTGTCACTCCCCCACCCCCCAAAGGCTACCACTGAAGTGCAAGCATGTTGTTGCTACCTCACTGTTTCATTCAGTTCTGCCTGTTCCTCTTTGTTGAATTGCGGTCCATGGGCACACTTACTATTGGGGTGTATAGAGAAGGGTTGGTCAGTCTCCCAGTTACCATTACCACTGCTCTACGTGTGCACTGCCCTCTGCGTAGATAGAAGCATTCCAAACACCACTGGATTTTGTGTTCTAGAATTAGGTAGCCATTAAGTACTTGCAGCATTTTTCTTACCTTTTTCCACACTCTCATAAATAAAAGGGAGGAAAGCTTCAGCAATAAATTCCCTCCAGGACTGAAGCATCTGCATCTGTGGGTATGTTGTCCTTTTCCAGTATGAGATTACTGGGGATTGCTTTATGCTATGGAAATTAGGTTTTGCTTAGTGACAAAGACCCTTGGAGTTCAAAAGTAAAACCTGTTTCTTTTTTGCAGTATGCATGTGTGCTTGAGCTGATTTTTTGTAAACATTTGTGTGAGGTGCTGTCGTTTTTATACTGATGCACGCAGACTTGCAGGTGTGCAGGTCCATTCACATCCCCTCCCTTCTTTTTCAAGGTTTCGACCACATCAAGATGCAGATCCTGCAAAGCCCCGAGTTGCTGCTCTCATAGACAGGCTAATAGCTTATAAAAATAATGACCATGGAGCTTGGGTCAGAGGAGGGGAAATCATTATTCAGAACTCTGGGTAGGTTGCCCTTCAGCAAATACCTACACATTGTTAAAGTAAATAAAACAGCTATCTTGAACAGACTTGCACAAGGTGACTGTACAGGTAAAACTTTGTCCTGCCAATTTCTGGAAATGTAAACTATCGTCATTTTCACCTATCTGGATTGGGGCTTTAGGTTTAGGTTATTGGTGTTTTTCCTGAAATAATTGGTTGTTTTTTCTCTTCTAGCTTTGCTGACAATGGAATAGGCTTAACCTTTGCCAGGTTAGTGCTGTTTCATTTTTACTACTTCTGTATTAGTCTGTCTCCTTTGAAGTTTTAAATTTCAAATCAGAAAACAGATCCTAACAAGTCTGTGCCTAAGTTATTGTTGGACTCCAGGTCAGAGGCAACGCTGCCCTGCTGGCTTTCACAGATAGCTTCAGTAGTTTTTAGCTGCTGTGTTGCACAGGTAGAGAATATTCTGTTCAGGTTCTTAAATAAGCAAGGTTGTAGTTGAAAGTATTATTATTATTATTATTATTATTTTATTTGTAGTGATGGAAGCTTCCCAAGTGATGAAGGCTCCAGCCAGGATGTATCAGACTCTCTGTTTGTTGGTGAAAGCAATAATTATGGCAATTCAGGCGGCCAAAACAAATACTGGGGCACTGGAGGAATAAACAATAAAAATCGTACTTTGCCTAGAAACCGGTAAGCATACAGTGCCTGAAACAGAGTGACCTTTCCGGGGCGCAGCTCTCGTTACCCTCCCTGTGAGAAACTCTGCAGATATCTTACTATAAATCTCTGACTTGGAGTTGGGTTTCTCCAGCTCTTCTCTTTTTATGTTTGGCCCATGCCAGCTCCCCTTGCAGTCTTAGTAACACAGGCCCGCCATCCTGTCCAAGCACATTCATGTCTTGAGAGAGCCTTCTGGATCCCATCTTCTTCCCATTGACTTGCTCCTGAACCTTCTTGCTAGAGCCGACATGCGCTTACGCACTGGGACATTCATGTGGGCAGGCCTCCAAGTAATGCTCTTTTAAATTACCTTTTGTGTTTCACAACTCCTGCAGTTTTTCTTACACAGTGTTTGCATTTCTGTTAAAGGAGATGAAAGAGCTCTAGTGACCTTTTAGGGAAAACGTTTGTTCAGCTTTGGGAATGCCAATTTGACTCCACTTCGCATTCCTGTCAGTAAGAGAGTCTGGATCTCTTGCTGACCTTGCAGGAGACCTGCTTGCTTAAAAAAAGAATATTTGCTGTCTCCTAGAATGATAGCTTCATGTCAAGGTGCAAGTAGAACCACATACACGAGAGAGTTGATGTGGAGGGAGTCAGTTTAAGTCTGCTAGCAGCCGTCAGTGGCGTTGGACAATGAGCATTTGTGACCAGTTTCCTGAAGCTGCTTGCAAATAAAGTCCTTTGGAGGTTTGGGCACTCTAATTAACAGTATTAACAGGTTTTAGGCTTACCATGCTAGTCTGAATGATAGGCTAGAAATGAGCAAGATCAAAGTGCAAAAGTTGGACTATTGCACAAAATCTACCTGCTAATTGGTACCTCTTCAATACTTTCCTCCACTTTCCTATTTAACCAGCTGCAGGGGATTCAGCTGTCTGCAGATGCCCTTAGGATAATTAGAGTAGAAAGAATAAGGTTAGAGTTCATAAATTCCTCTATTTAAATAAGGATCATTAGAGATACACTCACTTTAAAAAAAGGCTGAGTGCTGAGCCCTTGAGATAGAGTAGAAATAGGACTTATATTAATTGGGTGTGGATATGGCCAGAATAAACATGCATTGCTTGCAATTAGAATCTAAAAAAACCACAAATGCTGTCTCAGCATTGCATTAAATTCAAAAAATTGCTATAATTTTAAGGCTATGTTAGTATCTTTTAGCCATGAATATTTTATATATACAGCTTAATCCTATGCATGTTTACTCAGAAGTAACTCTCACTGTGTTGGGTGGAGCTTACATCCTTGTAAGTGCCATGGATATTGTCTGCCTAGTCCATATCTAAGTAAAGAAGTGTACTTGGCTGCTGCAGGCAAAAAGGGGTCTCTAAATATGTACCTATCTACTTTTAACAGGACGTATCCCATCAGAGGCTTTCAGATTTACGATGGACCTATACGTCTCTCCAAGTGCACATTCAACAATTTTGTGCCAACTCCAGATAGATTCACTAGTGCAATTGGGTTCCTAATGAAAAACACCTGGCAAATTACCCCCCAAAACAATATTTCTCTTGTGAAGTTTGGTGAACAGGTAAATTTTCAGATTGAAGCTGTTTTTCCCAAATGGGTAAAGGATGACTGAGCAATGTTTGGTGGAAATGCAGGGTACAACAAACAAATATTTATTGATAAAAGATTATTGCCATAAAATTAATGTTGCTCTTGTCTTTTAAGGTTTCTCTGAAAGTCTTTTTTGGTAAACCTGGGCCTTGGTTTGAAGAGGCTGATCTGGATGGCGACAAGAACTCAATATTTCATGATGTTGATGGATCTGTGACTGGCTACAAGGACACCTATGTTGGCAGAATGGATAACTACCTGATTCGACATCCTGACTGTGTTAATCTCACCAGGTGGAATGGTGTGCTCTGCAGTGGGACCTTTGCTCAGGTTAAAGAGAGGCCATTGTTAATATGCATAAAACTTGAGTAGCTGATGTTACTGTTTACCCATTTCTTCCAATTTTTATAAAAGTTATAGTAGAATTCTTTATGTCAAGGGATGGGCAGTCTCTCCCCCCCCCCCTTTGTCTTTGTATACTGTCTTAGTTTCATGATGTTAGCTGCCCTGAGCCCGGCTCCGGCTGGGGAGGGGAGGGTACAAATAAAAAGATTGATTGATTGATTGATTGATTGAGTTGTCTGTCTGTCTGTCAGAGAGGTGGGCCAGACCAGAAGCAAAAGTGGCTGAGGGCTGTGTCCCCTGTTTCTGTCTCTCTTTCTGCCCCTGCCCTTTCCCTTCTTTTCCTTTTGTTGCTTATATGTGCATTAAATTAGACCAAGGGTCACATGACATCAGACTGAGGGCAGCCTGTGGTACTTGGGCCCCAGCTTGTCATTTCTGATTTACATCCTTATTTATATTCAAAGCTCAGCCTACTGAATGGGTTCTCTCTTTCACACTCATATACCATCTCCCTGCTCCCAAATTGTCCGCTATTTTTAAAACAGTGAATAGGAAGAGGGCAAACACTTTCATCAAATGCAGGATTAGATGTATGAAGACAGAACCAGCACTCACAGAGAAAAAAGACTTCCTTTATCATATTTGCACAGCTTAGAGGCGGGAACCTCAGAACTCCATTCTCTGTTATCATTTCACACAAATACTGAAAAAGGCATTGGGCAAGTCACTTTATTTTATTTTTTTACTTTAGCTCTTGGTCTGTGTAAAGTACTTCCTTTATTAAAAAAAAACTGTAGAACTACTATGGTTCCATATAAAGAGTACAGTGTTGTTGTTTAGTCATTTAGTCGTGTCCGACTCTTCATGACCCCATGAACCAGAGCATGCCAGGCACTCCTGTCTTCCACTGCCTTCCACTCCCTTCTCCTTGTGCCCTCCATCTTTCCCAACATCAGGGTCTTTTCCAGGGACTCCTCTCTTCTCATGAGGTGGCCAAAGTATTGGAGCCTCAGCTTCAGCTTCACAATCTGTCCTTCCAGTGAGCACTTAGGGCTGATTTCCTTAAGAATGGATAGGTTTGATCTTCTTGCAGTCCATGGGACTCTCAAGAGTCTCCTCCAGCACCATAATTCAAAAGCATCAATTCTTTGGCGATCAGCCTTCTTTATGGTCCAGCTCTCACTTTCATACATCACTACTGGGAAAACCATAGCTTTAACTATATGGACCTTTGTTGGCAAGGTGATGTCTCTGCTTTTTAAGATGCTGTCTAGGTTTGTCATTGCTTTTCTCCCAAGAAGCAGGCATCTTTTAATTTCATGGCTGCTCTCACCATCTGCAGTAAAATCTCTCACTGCCTCCATTTCTTCCCCTTCTCTTTGCCAGGAGGTTATGGGACCAGTGGCCATGATCTTAGTTTTTTTGATGTTGAGCTTCAGACCATATTTTGCGCTCTCCTCTTTCACCCTCATTAAAAGGTTCTTTAATTCCTCCTCACTTTCTGCCATCAAGGTTGTGTCATCTGCATATCTGAGGTTGTTGATATTTCTTCCGGCAATCTTAATTCCGGCTTGGGATTCATCCAGCCCAGCCTTTCGCATGATGAATTCTGCATATAAGTTAAATAAGCAGGAGACAATATACAGCCTTGTCGTACTCCTTTCCCAATTTTGAACCAATCAGTTGTTCCATATCCAGTTCTAACTGTAGCTTCTTGTCCCACATAGAGATTTCTCAGGAGACAGATGAGGTGATCAGGCACTCCCATTTCTTTAAGAACTTGCCATAGTTTGCTGTGGTCGACACAGTCAAAGGCTTTTGCATAGTCAATGAAACAGAAGTAGATGTCTTCCCCCCAATTCCTGGAAGAGGTTTTGTTTCTACCTGCTCTGTCCAGGCAGTCATGTCTTGGGGGATCCAGCAAGTCTCCTTCCTCTCTCCTATGTGGCCCCTTTCTCCACTTCCTATTTAACACTAGCCATAACTTGTCATCATATCAAAATTTTATTACTATTATTGAAGGGGATGGTGTAACAGCGGCCAATGCCACCAAACGATGGTTTCTGATCTTGGTTTCCAACTGAGGTCTCGTATGAGCAGAGGGACTTTATCAAAACTTTCCATTAAGTATGTCATGTAATCCAGTGGTAAACAACCATTTTTTTCTTAATTCAAAGTTTTTGTTATCCAAATATATTTAGATATCCTCTAGGCCATCCAAACAACTGAGAGCTGGACTGTTTGCAACTGATGTGGTATAATCTATCCTAGTTTTTACATATTTATTCTGTTTTGATAACTGTTAGGTGTACATTCAGACACGGAATCCACAGAATCTTACCATGACTATGGTGCGAGATGAATACCCTTCCAGTCCTATGATACTGAGAGGGATTAATAATCAGAAAGCTGACTACCAGCAATACCAGCCTGTGGTGATGCTTCAGAAAGGCTACACAATACATTGGAATGGACAAGCCCCACAAACAACATTTCTGTACCTCATTAACTTCAACAAGTAGGTTGCCTTTCAATGTCCAGTTTTGTTTAAAAATGCAGATATATTCCATGAACTCTCATCTACCTCACAAAGCAATGTGAAGCATGTATTTCTTTGTTAGTTTTTGAAGTATAATAATGTATTATTACAAACTGAGCAAAACTCTTATCAGCCATAGACAAACAGCAATGACAACAAAAGGAAGAACACATGGTTTATATCATAGCATAATCCTCATTGACAGCACTAACAATGCAAATTGGCTAGCTTGATTTAATAAATGATTTAAACTTCCTCTCAGATGAGAAAACCAAGTTCTGTGGCACAGGTCATCAGGCTGTCCTCATGTGCAAGCCACATTGAATGTTCCTGTGTCCTTTTCAAAAGAACATTGTGGAGCAGAAGATTTTTCTCTTTTGTTCTAATTTTCCCAGCAGTCCTTTCAACCTTTCAGTAGTATTATGTTGTGAAAAAATATGCTCAGTATTCACACAAAATGAGTATGGCATGGTGGACAGAACTTTGGAAGGTCTTGGTTTAAAATTATAGCTAAAATAGTTCCCAAAGAACTTTGTTCATTCTGCTGCAGCTAATTTTACTTCCACATTTGTAAACTAGGAATTACAGTTGAAACTAGGAATTTTCTTGTTTCTGTGGTAAGGATACTTGTAAACAGTATTAGAAATCATTTTAGTACTATGTGGTGATGCTGAATGATAACCACCGCAAGCAGCAAATGAAAAAGCTTTTATAAGCATATGGTAATGTTTTTGTCACTTTCTGTTTTCAGGAATGACTGGATTCGGGTGGGTCTCTGTTACCCACCAGACACTACTTTTCAAGTAACATCTGATGCATTCCGGAGGCCTGCACCTCCCAATAGTGTGGAGGATTATGTGTCTGTATCTTCAATGGCGGAATTGCAGAATAGTCGAATGGAGAGAAAGTTTTATTTTGATAACAGCACTGGGTAGATATTTGCCACAAAACCATAATTTGTAGTATAATTAAATGTTCAGTTTTTTAGTATCTATAAGAACTGGATGACTTGGTTTTTTGTCAGTGGAGAGCTATAGCATGAATGTAATTCTAAGAGGAATCATCAGGATTTGTGGTTATGTATGCAGTAGTTTATCAAACTGTCAATTCCCCAAAGGCCACTGCAGTGTAGGCTGTTCTGAGTACACAGAAAAATATGAAGTTTACATTCAACAAATGCTTTTGTTATCCATCTCAGGCCATTCTGGGTAGGGCTTTCCCTACCCACCCAAGGTGTGAATGCATTCTTTCAGACCGCCCTGTTGTCCCACCAGGCTTCCCAGCAATCTGTGCAAACAGTGCACTCTGCACAGAGGAAGAATTGCAGAATACATCTTATTTCCTTCCTCCCCTTCCTCTCTATGTGGTTATGCACTAAAGATGCAACATACAGTGAGGGGGGAAAGTATTTGATCCCCTGCTAAATTTGCCTGTTTGCCCTCTGACGAAGAAATGACCAGTCCATAATTTTAATGGTAGGTTTATTGTAGCTGTGAGAGGCAGAATAACAACAGGAAAAACCCCAAAAACCCAGAAGACAAAAGCCAGAGATTGATGTGCATTATAATGAATGAAATAAGTATTTGATCCCTTTGCAAAAGATGACTTAGTACTTGGTGGCAAAACCCATGTTGGCAATTACAGAGGTCAGACGTTTCTTGTAGGTGGCCACCAGGACTACACACATCTCAGGAGATATTTTGTCCCACTCCTCTTTGCAGATCCTCTCCAAGTCAGTAAGATTTCGAGGCTGATGTGTAGCTACTCGAACCTTCAGCTCCCTCCACAGATTTTTGATGGGATTAAGGTCTGGAGACTGACTGGGCTACTCCAGGACCTTCATGTGCTTCTTCTTGAGCCGCTCCTTTGTTGCCTTGGCCGTGTGCTTTGGATCATTGTCATGCTGGAATACCCATCCTCGACCCATTTTCATTGCCCTGACTGAGGGAACGAGGTGCTCACCCAAGATTTGACGATACATTCACCTTCGATGTGGTGAAGGTGTCCTGTCCCCTTAGCAGAAAAACACCCTCAAAGTGTCCCCCTCCATGTTTGATGGTGGGGATGGTGTTCTTGGGGTCATAGGTAGCATTCCTCCTCCTCCAAACACGGCGAGTTGAGTTGATGCCAAAGAGCTCGATTTTGGTCTCATCTGACCACAACACACTCACCCAGTTCTCCTCTGGGTCATTCAGATGTGCATTGGCAAACTGCAGACGGGCCTGTACATGTGCTGTCTTGAGCAAGGGGACCTTGCGGGCTCTGCACAATCTCAGTCCTTCATGGCGTAGTGTGTTACCAACTGTTTTCCTGGTGACTATGGTCCCAGCTGCCCTGAGATCATTGACAAGTTCCCCCCGTGTAGTTCTGGGCTGCTTCATCACCGTTCTCCTGATCATTGCAACTCCACAAGATGAGATCTTGTATGGAGCCCAGACCAAAGGAGGTTGACAGTTATTTTGTGTTTCTTCCATTTGCGAATTATTGCACCAACTGTTGTCACCTTCTCACCGAGCTGCTTGGCAATAGTCTTGTAGCCCAGTCCAGCCCTGTGCAGGTCTACAATCTTGTCCCTGGCATCCTTGGACAGCCCTTTGATCTTGGTCATGGTGGCTAGTTTGGAATCTGCTGGATTGATTGCTTCTGTCGACAGGTGTCTTTTGTACAGGTACTGTAACGAGCTGGGATTACAGGTACGACCTCTCCCTTACAGCAGGTGCTTCTAATCTCAGCTCATTACATACAGTGAAGATACCAGGTGACCTGACTTCTGGCAAATGGCCTCATGGGAGCCATGTGAAATAAGGAATAGTGCCAGCACTGCTGGTTTTGTAATAAAGTGTGATCTGTTCTTTGTTTTTGTTTGTTCATGTACAGGCTGCTGTTTTTGTTTCTTCAAGCCAAATACCACAGGGATGGCCACAGTTACTGTTCCTTTCGGGGATGTGAAAGAGTCAAGATTCAGGCCAGCTTTCGGCCAAAGTCTGTCAGTAACTGCTTGACAAAAGCTTACCCAAAGTACTTCCAGAAGCCAACTGTGGTGAAAAGAATGCCCACAAAGACTACGGGCTCCTGTCAGAAATGTGGCTCCACTCAGGTGGGAAAAGGGCACAGCATCAAGAGCGATATGGTTGATTAGCGCATAACCTCTTGCAGTTTCTCCCAGGGGTTTCAACCGTGTTGACAGGACACTCGCAGTCATGAGTAAATGGGGCAGGATTTGAATGTAAGAAGAATGAGGTGGCCTGATGGATCAAAGCAGAGACTGAAGGATGGGATGGATAGAGATGAGATGAGATAAGATGAGAAGTTTTAGGAAATCACATTGCTGAACAGCATCATGTTTAAAATCTCAGCAAAACTTGAAATCAATTGGAAATGACTGCATCTGCATGATATGTATATTTTGAAAGAATAAGAATAGAAGGCCCTTCTAAATTAGGCCAGTGGTCCATCTAGTCTAGCATCCTGTTCTCACAGTGGCCAACCACATTCCCATTATGGGAAACCCTCAAGCGGCAACCAAGCAGGGCTCCATTATACAGGAAGTGGATAGACAACAGTCTCTCTCCCCCCCCCCTCTCTCACACACACAGGAGGGCTTTTGCCCTCACATTTCTGTTCATGGGTTTCCCATAGGCATTTGAATCACCATGGTCAGAAATGGGATCCTAGGCTAGATTGACCTTGGTCTTGTCCAGCAAAATTATTCCTAATAGCACTGCATCTCAGTGTTAGCTGCTAGACAGATACACAGGGTGGTGAATGTGCCTGACCAGAAACTGCACAGCTGGACATTATTTGTAAGGGAATCCTAGGTGGGATTGGGGAAGAGCAAAGCAGCAGATCCAGCCCTGCATCCCAACCCTTCCTGGGGGGCAGGTGTAGCTGAGGATCCTAAAGTTCTAGCTTGGGGAAAGTTGAGGAAAATAAGCCAAACAGAATCACTTTAATCTTGCCTTTCCATTATGCTTTTGAGGCTTTTGTTTTTTCTTTCTTTCACATTTCTCTGTGCTGTGCTGTTTTTTTCTGCGGTGTGTTTTTGAAGCTTTCCTTTTACAGGAAAAAAGGCTTTTAATGAACTGAACAACTTTTTAAAGCTTCAACAGGAATATAAGGTTTTCCATCTTTTATTGTATGATGCTGTACTTGTGAATATACTTTTTCTAGTCCTCACCCAAATCTCAACACAGTAGGCTTCTGTCACTGACATTCCTGTTCTAAGAGAAAAATTATACACTATACACTCATATAATGGCTACTTTTAAAAATTAATTGTATTCTATTCAGGTGGCATTTACCAGTGATCCTCATAAAACCTACCTCCTTGTGAAAATTCAGTCTCCAGACACAGTTGAATTGCAAAGGAACGAAGAATCTTATGTCTCAGTAAGTATTCTTGCACTCTTGCTTTACCACAAGCCTTTATTAACATCATGCAGGAATGCCATTACCTGTGTAGGTGTGTGAAAATGGATCATTTAGGAACAAACCATATCAGCATAAACTTGGGGGAAAAGAATAAGAGAATAATTTGGCATCCTCAGCATTCCTGTTATTTGCAGCATCTTTGCATATTGATTTGTTTTCAAAATACCATTGGTAAAATTTAAATTTAAAGTGTATAATAGTGATTTAGAATAAGATACACTCAGGTTTCTTCAGACGTATCCCAAGTTCAGTCAAGTAGGAGGCAATGTGTGCAGAAATAGATATGCACATGACTGAATAATGGGTGTGGGCCAGCACTATAAAATACTGGTTGCACTGCCATTTCCATTGCCAACCTTCGAGTCTGCTTCTTTCTTACTTAAGGACTCTTATAAATCCAGAGGGTTTCAACTCAGATCTTTTGGTATTGCCTTGGAACTCTTGTATAATTCAGGTGATCAATATATTTATTGCAATATTCAGACTAGATTAAGGGACATTGAAAAACAAAACATCGAGTCAGGTGTAAATAAAATTTGGTTCCCCAAGTTCTATGATTTAAATCCAACAGATAACAGGGTCACTTATATTTCAAAAATAATAATTCCAGTCCAACACAGGGCCTTTATGTTAGCCCAACTGAACATTTTCCCCTCAGCTTTTGTCAAGGGCAGATATTTAAACATCCCCAGAAATTATAGACATTGCGGATGTTTTTTGAATGTGCCGGACACTGTAGAACATATTCTTTTGTGCTGTCCATTGTACAACCAGCTATGCAAATGCGTCCTGTCCCCCTTTTTGGGTAGTCTGACATCGTGGCACAGTGAAAACATCAGATTCTAATCTGTCTGACATTAACCTGGAAGCATCTGCAAGGGGGCTGAGTTTTTGTCAATACAGTGGTACCTCGGTTTAAGGACAACCCTGTTTACGAATGATTCAGTTTATGAACTCCGCAAAAGTGTCCTGGTTTGTGAACTTTACCTTGGTCTAAGAACGGAAGTCGAATGGTGGGAGGGCACTGGCAGCGGGAGGCCTCATTAGGGAAGGCATGCCCTGGTTTAAGAACGGACTTCCGGAATGGATTAAGTTTGTAAACTGAGGTACCACTGTACTATTTCTTAAAGTGGTGAATGTCAGTAGTGTACTGGGCTTCTTACAATTACATGTTCAGAGGGGTGTGGAACCTGTGGTACTCCAGAAGTTGCTTTATCTTCATTTATTAATTACCCACCCTTCACTCTTCAGGTCCCCGGGAAGTTGCAACACTTAAAACACAATATTGCTGCAACTCCCACCATCCCTGGCTGGGCGGATGAGGTTTGTGGCCCTCCAGGTGTTGCGGGACTCCAGCTTCCCCACCTCTGCCTTAAAACGATGACTAAATTAGAGGATAGAGTGCTGTCAGTGGCTGCAAGCCATGAAGGCTGTGGGTGGCCCTCATGAGGCAGACCGGGGGGGGGGGGGAGTTGCTCCTGAGCTCAAGCCCTGAGTGCAGGTTTCCCCCAGGCGTCTGGTTGGGCACTGAGAAGAGGAGGCTGGACTGAGGGCCTTTGGCAGGATCCAGCAGGGCTGCTCTTACGTTCCTAGATGGCTGAGATGGGGATATTTACTTCAGCTCTAAGGGGTTAAATGTAGTGATGAAAAATTAGTTCTGGTTTGGGGCCAAATGTGCGGCTGGGAAATGAAGGCATCAGAGTTTGAAGGTTAGAACTGAATCAGTGGGCAGGTAAATGCACTTGAATCTTTCAGGGAAATCGGAGGAAAATAGAGTTGCAGCATTAGCATTTTTAATTGCCTTGACATGGCAAACTGAAGCTTCTGAGAATGGTTCTCATCTGATTTTTAAAAGGGGCTTTGAACAACTCTTTCACTGACGACAGAGATGGCCTTCCTAAGGCTAAACGAAAGACTAATTGGAGCTCAGAAGCCATTATTACAGGGCCCAAAGGGGGTTTGTGGAAAGGACATGGATATGTCTCAGTGGCTTCAGTTACACAAAGAAAACAGGAAAGCCCTAACCTGAGGGCCACAGAAATCTTATCAGCAAAGATTTTGAAGGAAAAGACTCATTCATAGGAAATTGTTCACTGCCAGGAAGCCAAATGATGATAAATGCAGTGGAACTGTGAATTTACAGCAGATTATTGTATTTACAAATTACTGGTTTGGGGAAAGGGGGGAGTGTGATTTATGAGGTCTGTAATTTCAGGTCAGTGGCATTAAGTTTCCCTTGAGTGCTGTGGGTGTTCTTACCGTAGTCATTGATGCCTGCACTGGCAAAGTAACAAAAGAGAGATTTTTCTCTGAAGCAGACGTAAGGAATCTAGAAGAATATGTCAAAACTGGAATTCCTCAAAGGTATGTGATACAGTATAAACACCAGCTTGCAAATAGCATTTTTGTGGGAGTGGCATTTAAGCTATTTTGCATTACCTTTTAAAAATGCACTGAGGTGCTTCTTTTCATAATACTTAAATGTTTTTCAGAGAATGGTGCTTAAGGTACCTGTGTTACTGCTATGAATTGTTCATATCACCTCACTTTCTGTCTTTGAAGTTAAGGAAAGAACTCTTGTACTCTGTTACAGTGGTACCTGATGCAAACGGGATCCGTTCCGGAGCCCCGTTCGCATCCTGAAGCGAACACAACCCGCGTCTCTGGAGCGCGATTTGCCACTTCCACGCATGCGCATGACGTCATTTTGAGCATCTGCGCATGCATGAGCGGTGAAACCCGGAAGTAATGCGCTCCGTTACTTCTGGGTCGCCGCAGAGCGCAACCCGAAAACGCTCAACCCAAAGCTACTTCACCCCGAGGTATGACTGTACTTAAAAAGCGGGTGGGGTAGTAGGAGTTGTATCCCAGGGCACATCTTGCATATGCTAGAAAGAAATCTAAATTCTATGTCCATAAAAGCTTGATACTTTTGCAACTAAGGCATGTGATTTGTGTTCACCTAATTCTGTTTTTGTTAGCCATATAAGAGGACCAAGTCAATAAACATCACTGAATCCTCATCTCCACAAGGCTTCTGAGAATTTTTCAGGAACTGCCCATATGTTTCCAAGATGACCTTTGCCAACCCCAAAAATTAGAAATTTGCTTTTTTAGGAAAGTAGAAAGTTCCACTCCTATGCAGGTCTACTCAGAAGTAAGCCCCACTGGTTTTGGTGGGCTTACTGTCAAATAAGTATTCAGAGGATGCTTCTGGTACAGTCAGACAAATAAAGCTACTGTTCTGGAAAGCAATTGAAAACAATCCCTTCCTAACTTCAGTATGATTTCTTTCTTTCTTTCTTTCTTTCTTTCTTTCTTTCTCTCTCTCTCTCTCTCTCTCTCTCTCTCTCTCTCTCTCACACACACACACACACACGGCAGAAGCCTATCATTCCCCCCCCCTCCGGACATCTGGGAAGAAAAAATAGCATTTTCCTCAAGCAATACAACCAGGAAAATGTAAATGGAAAATTATTATCTTTTTATCAAATGAAAAGGAAGTAAGATGGAGATTGTGATTGCTTAAATTGTGTCACAAATGTGTTAGGCATTATGGATATTATAATTCAGTATAAATTCATACAAATTGATTGTTAGAGGTCTTGTTTTTTGTTACCATGTTTAACAAAATGTAGGTATAATGTGCTACACCGGATTAATTTGTTATGGATATGCAAATTTTGACATTTGCAAAGTAAGCATGATTTTTATTTCTAAAAAAGTTTGCTTTCTCCAGATGGCAATTTATTATAGAAAAGTGTGTTAGTCATATTGACGTTCCACATTTACGGCTCTATGAATATGATGTCACCAATTTTAACAATTTTATATGCTGCCTTTCCAAAGCAGCTTGCAATAGATATTTACTTAAAACATGATTTTTTTAGTGGCAGTAAATCAGTGTTATTCTCTCCTCTTCAACCTTATCCCTTCATTTTCTTTCTCTCAGGTCTATAGTTGTATTAAGCACCAGAGGGAATATAAAAAACCTTAACATTTCTCAAGCTTTAATGACCCTGGGAGCAGCAAAACCAGCAAATCTTCACAACAAGGGTGTGTTCTTCTTTTTACATATTAAAATGTGCCTTTTCCTTTTCTAGAAATGGAATGCAAAAGATGCTGTGCAAGTTGCTGTTTCATATTCAGTGTTGATAAATTTTCAAAGTTTGCTATGATATTGGAACAGAACATTTTAAATGTTGAATCTGTTGCCCGTTATTGATGATGTGTATTCTGTTCTGAAACATACATTTTTCCTCTTTCAGGGAGCATAGGCTTCTTTGGGTTCAGAGGGAACTTCAAACCATCTTGGATCAAGCTATTGACCAGTCCTGCAAGACAGGGCCTGGGCCAAATGGAAAAGTATCTCCCTCTGCAGCTGGAAGAGTACGGCTGTGCCAGAGCAAATACTAGCCGACGGAAAGATCTGGAACTTCTAAAGCAGGCGACAAGAACACAGTAGAAATTAAGGTGCATATGCACACTGAAGACAATGTGAACTAATTTATTTATTTTATGGAATTTTAACGTGTACTATTACCCAAGTACATCACTTTGCTGTTTTTTATATGGACATTTGCCTACGCTGAATGCTTGAATGCCCATCTGTGCACCTTTTGGATTGTACAAAATATTAAAGAATTAAAGTATTTGTTTAAAAAACAGTTTTTGTAAGGGGGTGTTATTTCAATGTTTGTCCTTTATTATAAAAAGCCTTTTGTCTTCTACTCATTTTATATATATTTTTTTGCATTTTCGAAAGGAGAACATTGGAAGTGTCAGTCATCTTGAAGGATGGATCAGAAAACATAAAATCTTACCTTTAGATTGGCTGAAAGTCTTTAAAAACATGCATATATGTTTGCAATGTGGGTGCCAGTTTATACGTCACAATTTGTCACTTATTTTCTTTCTTTCCAACTGAACCGTGTGGTCTGCATATATGTACAGTGAACATAAGAGCCTAGGAGCTGATGGAACATGCTATGAGATTTTCTGATCTTTTTTTATTATTTAAAAGTTTATATCCCACTTTTCTACATGCAGGTCTAATAGTGGTTTACAACAATAAAACCACTTAAAACATAAACTTAAAACATAAATTAAACCTCCAGAATTTAACGATCCCAAACGCACAAAAATGTAAAACACATGAAAAGCAAGCAGCGTGCAAAGGTCTCCTGAAATAAACAGTTTTGACCTGGCATCTGAAACTTGTAGGGACAGTGCCTGTTTAACTTCTTGTGGGGCAGAGATATATAGAGTTGGGCCTACAACACTGAACCCACAACTCCTCATTGGCCCATAGAGGCCCATAGAGAAGCAGAGATTTCCCTGTTTCCACGACATTCTCTATTCACATGGTAAATGAAATGAAATTTATTATTACGGTTGGAGACCAGGTTGTAAAACACAAATGGAACTAAACAAGCAAAACAAACATTTAAAATAATATAGAACAATGGATTTTAAGTTTAAAAATGTGGTAGGCATATAACACACAAAAACTTTAAGATAGACTAGACTACCATAGAGAAATGACCCAGAGTCGCCCGTGGATCCGAGTTTGGGAATTTTCTTAAACTAGTTAGTCACATGGTATGTATGAGTAAGAGCCGTCTGATGAGGTGGGCAGAAAGCTATCTATTACAATGCATGAATTTACCCCAAGGTTGATTAGTTAGCCAGACCTTGGATAGCTTCATCCAGTTATAGTTCATGTCTACTAAACAAATATTAATGAATACATTTGCTTTCCCCTTCACTAGATGAAGGAGCATTAAGAAAGTTTAAGTGAAAATATTTAGTAGCCTCTTCAAAAGTTCCCATGTGGCGACTCACATGGCTCCCACTCACATGGTTGGGTTAGAAGAAGTGAAGGCAGGTCTGAAGAGGAAACAGACCACAGCACAAGAGGCCTTCTGTGTAGAGGGCGGGAAAGAAGACCCAGGTAACTACTGTCCAGTGAGCTTGTACCAGGAAAGGTCCTAGAACAGATCGTTCAAGCTGGTCTGTGAGCATTTAGAAAAGGATGCTGTGATTTCTAAGACCCAGCATGGGCTTCTCAAAAATAAGTCACGGCAGATGAATCTCCTTTTCTTTTTTGATGGAGTTACAAGCTTGATGGCTCAAAGGAATGCTGCGGACATAGTGTATCTTGATTTCAGTACGGCTTTTGACAAAGTCCCCCCTGGCAAGATGTGGGTTGAGCAAGGGAGTTATTAGGTGGACTTGTAGCTAGCTGACGTGACAAAATCCAAAGAGTACATATCATTGGTTCCTCTTCATCCTGGTCAAAAGTGACAAGTGGGGTGCCACAGGGTTCTGTCCTGGGCTTATTGTTGTTCAACATCTCTAAAAACAACTTTGACGAAGGAATTGAGAGGATGCTCATCAAATTTGCAGATGACACCAAACTGGGAGGGGTAGCTAATGCTGCAGAAGACACAATCAGGACTCAAAATGACCTTAACAGATTGGAGAACTGAGCCCAAGCTAAGAAAATGAATTTTAATAGGGACAAATGTAAGGTGCAATGGGACTTGCTTCCAGCTAAGTGGGGTTAGGACTGCAGGTTTAGCCACTTCTCTTTTACATTGTTCCATAAGAGCTAGTAGTGCGAATCTCACCTGAGATGCATTGTATGCACACTCCCCTCCTTCAAGAAATGTTTGCCCTTCTATAAGACATCACAGCCTCTTGGTGATACTACATCAGTCATCAATTTTTAAAAGTTTGTTTAAAGACTGCATGGTGTGTACACTTTTCTCAGTGACGCCCCTGCCCTCTGCAAAAAGCCAGTTGGCACCAGACCACTCAGGAGCAGCTGGCACAGAAGCACTTCGGACAATCAAAAGACAGTGGGAATAGGGACTGTTGCATCCAAAACTAGACACCCCCACCTAACAAAGCTCAGTTCCTGATCCTTACTAAGCTCTGTATGAATCTGCATACAATGTCATCATAAGTAGTAGCAGAACTTTGATTCTTTGCTAAGGAGGGGAAATGAGTGAGCTCAAATTCAAGAAACAGAAGAACAGGTATATAAGAAGAGAACTGCTGGATTCATCTAGTTCAGCATCTGTTTTCCACAATGGCTAGCCAGATGCCTCCAAGAAGCCCCCCAAAGGCACCAACTCTTAGCCTACTCCCAATCATTAATCTTCGGTATGTAGTATCTCTGAATCTGGAATCTTTGCTTAGCTGTCACAGCTAATAGCTTTTAACAGACTCATCATACATTAATTCTTCTTTTCAAACATTGTGAGTTTGGTTGCAGCCAGTGCTTTTTTTCCTGGGGGTACGCAGACCCCTAAACATTTTGTTTAGAAAAAAAGCACTGGTTGCAGCAACAGTACTATACATTATACAGTACTACATGCAGCACAATGAGAGATCAAAAGTTCAGTTAAACATCAGCTCAGGTTAATTATCAGTGGGTGCACCATGCTGAAATATTTTCTTCTTCCATAACTGGGAAGGGGTGTTTTATAAAATCTTCAATCATGTTTGCTCCCTTCACTTCCAGAAGGATGAAATTATGGACAGAAGCATCTAGAGCAGAGTTTCAGTGCAGAAAGCTACTGACATAATACTAACAAAGTCTGGTCTATCTAACTGACCAGTGTGCCTTTTTCTGCTTGTGCTCCTCTTTGTTTAGGATATCCTTGAGCTTTCCCCTGCTGATAAACTTTGGCTTCCTCTCAGGAAATTCCATAACTTGCTCCAGTTACTATCTTTTCCTTACTTCCTCTTTATCCCCTCCCTTCTCCGCAAACCAACCACTCTGTTTCAAAAGCAAAGAATAAGATGATGTCACATAAGTGTGGTGCTCATATTTGAAATGTTTTAAATTACTGTTTTAAATCATTGTTAAGATTGGGGAGACCTTGGGAGGACTTTGCCCTAAAAGTCAGTCCATAAAAAGTTGAAATAAGTACTGATTAATCTGATTTCTTCATCATATTTTTGCTGCCCATCTGATATTATGTAAGTAGCACTTTTAAAGTTTTCCCTCTGCACTTCCCCTTTTCAAAATATTTAAATTACCTAGGGTAAAAGGGTTTTAAGCTAGTTTTGTGATTTATGCATTACCTGATAAAGAACGGATACCAACTGTTTGCTTGAAACAATTAAAACTAACACTATAGTTTGTTGCAATGAAACAGACCACTCAGGAGCTCAATCCAAAACCCTGATCAAGCAGCTCATGTGCTTTTGCCATGTATCTCCTCAGCGACAAAGGGGTATTTGTGAAGTTATGGAAGGTGTGAGGAAGCTTTGGCACTCCCAATGTTGCCCAGCTCATACTCCCTCCAGCAAGCATGGCCAATGGACAGGGACGATGGGAGCCGCACTTCAGCAAAATCTGGAGGACCAAAAGTCCCCCCCCCCACCTGGGTTGCAAGATTCACTTTGGCTGGTCCCCTCCTACACATGAAAGGAAGGTCAGTGGCTCTGTCTGAAGACAGACTTCTAATCCTGTACCCACTTCCCTAGGAGTAAGTTTTCTTGACCTCAGTAGGGCTTACATACATCTGAGAAGACATACCTATGAGTGTGCTGGATTGTGAAATAATAAGTGCCCAGAACTTTATGGGAGCAAAGCCTGGTAGTTACTGTGCAGAATGTTTCTTCATGAAGTGAGACGTATCCATGCTATTTCCTTGATATAAATATTGAAATAAACCCACTATGTGAGCTATTGTGGCATATTTAAGGTTAATGTCAAAAACATTTTATTCTCCACAATGTGATATTTTACATAGAAAGGCACACATTGGGTCTTTGTGTTACCATGTCATGAATTCAGTTTTAAGAGTTTATGTGAAGCTAAACAAATTCCACATTAAACTCCACTTTAAACCAGACTATTTTAAAGTAAATAAAATATACTTACTACCTCTGCATTTTCTTTTTTTTAAAAATAGTGATTTTTATCCACTCTGACAGCTTTTTTTACCTTTGGGCATTGCAAATTTATGTGCCCAGGTTATATACTAAAGAAGCTCAAGTGGAATGTGGAAGATCCATTTTCCATCGTTCTTGCATGTGTGCTTGCATACACTCTGAGTATGCACCCATTACATGCAGTCACAGCATCCTCAAGGGAGGCTGTAATGAAAAGCGTGAATAGTAAATGCCAGAAATCTATCCCACAGTCCTCCAGAGCCAATTAACACAATAAAGCAATCTAATGTTGTAGATGTTGAGCTTCCTGTCAGAGCCACGAGACAAGCCTGTTAGCCTTTTCTGTCTTGAATAGGGAGTTTGTTAAGTGTCACATTAGGCTTGATTTGACAGCAGCTAGGCAATAAGAATAAATAGCACTAATGATTTTAGAAAACATTGATTCCTTGGTCTTGCTTTCAATGGTCTTGCAGTGTGCTACACATTTCCCTGCCAGACCTACATAATTAATGTGAACCATTTAAAAGCAAGCACAGGAGATTTCATGACACCTTTGTTAAAAGTTACACATGAGTCTCCTTCAAAACCAAGGTTAGTAAGTTAAACAAACATTAATGAGCACGTGCTAACAGATGCTGTTTATGGGGTGCAATAAAATCTAGAGCAGAACAAAGTATTCAAGTGACTGCTGGTGAGTGCAGGATTCTATAGATACCCACATTGTTTCCCACTTACCCCATGAGGGCTTACAAGG